CACAAGGTTAGTTTTCTTTAATCTTGACACATATATTAATATCATATAAGTAAATTTCAAAATATAACATATACAGAATATTAATTGTAACTAGTATTTATTAGTGTATACTTAATATCAATTTTTTCAACATATAAATAGTAACTGACTAATTAAGTATAAAAAAAAATGAATATTAAGTGAAGGAAGACTTAGCAATTATAAATTGAAATCAAAAATTTGTGGACAATGCCATTATTTACTATTGAGTACAATCTACTTATGATACGATTCACGTGAACTTTCGTTATTCAAATGACAATACTATTAAGCTCATTCAAATTTTATATTATTTTTTTTCCTTTTCTAGTGAAGGCAAACATCTTATTAAACCTGAAATATTATAATGTTATTAGACAAGGGCGCCAAAGGGAGAAAACAGGTTTTTTTTTAATTCCATTAGGAACACAGATATCTGTTCAATGAGTATTAAATAATTTATGTTATGTATGAAATTCAAGTACACACACACACACACACACACACACACACTATATACATATAAATACAATCAATAAGCAAAAAATATACTTTCTAGGGGAATAACTTTATTGACATATCGTTTTTTTTTTTTTTTTATTATAGCTAGAAGTATTATGGATATTTTAATAAATTCATATTTAAATATAAAAATATTGATGTGGAAAAACAAAAAACAAATAAATAAAAATAAAAATAAATTATTATTAATGAAATTGATAGAATAATAACAAAATACGGAATATAATTATTATATACTAATAATTATTAATATATTAATAATATAACTTCAATATATTTCCAAAATGTTAAGTTATACGAGTAGAACATTTTAAATAAATTTACTGTACAATAGTACATAGTTAAAATGGTATAAATTCTAGTTTTAGAAATAAGAACAGATAATTATAATATTATAGGTCATCTACTTATCATAACCTTCATAAATGTTCATAGTGTTTGTACCTAGGTATAAATACGTTAAAAATTGTAATCAAAGAATATTAGGTACTTCAATACTTATTCTAGTATTATTTAAAACTATTTCGAACTAATCGTATAACTGTTAAATTATGAATTGAACTAAAAATACTTATACTTGCAGTATTATATTGCAATAGCATTGGAATTTCGAATAAATTATGATGTTTCAGGTCTAACCTTTACATTATGAATATCTACTAAATTATTTTTGTAGATACTGTCAGTGGTGTTAGGATACTTGTAATGATGGTATACCACGTTGACCCTGACCTTAGAATATTCAATAAAAATGTGGTAAATATCGATAATGAAAAGTTTGTACATAATTTTGTAAAATCATTGTCTAAAACTTTTTTTTTTTAGAATTGTTCAAGAAACGTATTATTAATATAATATATTATATATGCAATTTTTACTTATGGATGAAATATCTTTGTACAGTAATTAATAACTGTAGGAAGTATAATACAAATTGTATTTTTAAATTTTCAAATATTCAGTTGTTTTATGAAAATTCCATTTATGTGTATCCGGCAATATGGAAATAGACTAAATTAGGCTAGTTTATATTTTCTATTCTTAGGTTGAGGGCTAAGAAAATTATCCTATAAATAATTTTTTCTAGTATGATTATTCATTCATATACCAGAAAGATTTTTTGTACCAAAAATTTAAAAATATACAAAGTATCTATTTGAAATTACATATATTAATGTTTCTTACATTACTATATTAGCTAATTGATTGATACTTTTATTATTAGTCTGATTATATATCATAGACTGAGCAAGAATGGAGAGTTGCTCCCTATATTAGATGCTCGTAGGCTACGAATTATTTAGAATAGAGCTCTTAGTCTAAAAATAACATTTGCTTATTATATTCAGGGGGAGTAGGTTACAGCACCTCCCATCGCCCACCCCCTAAATTAGGTTTCGGTTTAGGTATACGACCCCCAAATTTCTTAATAAGCTTTATCATTATTATCTAATAATGATTAAATCCGTTTTACTTTTTTTATTAGGAATAAAAAACAATATTCCTTTTAGTAGATAAATAAATAACTAGGCAATATGAAATTTTATTAGTAAAATATAATTTTTAATACTTTTAACAAATATTTTTATAATTACAAATGGTCTTAATATATATTATAATTCTAAATGTCGTTTCGTTGGTATAATAGTCATAATTAATAGTTTTTTTCATCAGTTGTTCTGAATAGAAACATTAAAGCGTCAAGTCTTTCTTGAGTCATGGTGCTGCGGAGTTTTGTTTTTACAATCGTCAGCTTAGAAAATGCACGTTCGCATGAACAAGTTGTTACCGGAATAGTGGTAAAAAGTACTATTACTTTCTAGAAGTGAAGAAAAATTCAAGTTCTATTATTTTAATTTAGAAAACCAATCCATTGATGCACTTCATCAATGGATTGATTTTAGAAGTCGTTCCAGGTGGTTTATTAGGTATATTTTTAAGTATCATAATTTCAACTTAAATTTGCTCTCTTATCAATTTCAAATACATTATTCAAATACAATAAATCTTCTTAATATGGCCATCTTTGAGCCATCTTAAGTTTTAAAATATTTGTAACAGCAACTATAAGTTTTAATGTTTCCTGATTGAAACGATCATTTGGACCATTTAACAAGTCACATAGGCGGACATCGGGGAGGGGGGATTAGCCCCCTAAATATTTTATTAGTCCCCCCCAAAATCGAAACTTTGTTAGAAATGTTATTCGTTGTTTTTATAATTATCTGTTCGTTTATTTGAAAATCGTAAAATAAGTAATAATAAAAAAACTATTTACAATAGCATTAACAATACCAATAAGTTCGGCTATTTGCGAAAGAAGTTTCAGTGCAATGATAAAAATAATAACTTGGCTGAGGACACCGTCGGTTCAAGATAGGTTCAGCGATCTTTCAATACTATATATTGAAAAAAAGTTATAACAAAAAATATAAAAAGCGATTATATTTTGAATATCTTTGCTGATAAAAATAGAAATTTGTTATTAAAATAAAATGTTTTTTTTAATACAATCTAAACATATCTATATTTTTAATAGTAATAAGTTTTAATTGTGCACGGGAAGGGGATGTGGAGCCGAAGTTCCTGCGGGTTATTTTACATTGAATTATTATAGCTCCCCCAAAAATTCAATCAAATTTCCACCAATGAAAAGTCATCTATAATAACATTAAAATTCCAAACTTTCATATCTTCTTCTTTTGTACATGAAAAATATTAATTTTCCGATGCTTGACAAATTTTTCTTTTTTTTACTTGAGGAATGATTAATCCAGTTTCTGTACAACATTCAACTGTCTCATTATACATTTTTTTAAATAAGTTATCATTTGATTTTAATTGAGATATGTTCAGTTTTAGTGATTTGATCATATTTAGAGAATTTAATAGATATAAATCCTCTGCTTGGAGACATGAATTAACTTTAACAATGAATAATAAAAGAGGATGTAGCATATTAAGAGCAAAAATGAATTCAAATATTTTTAATTGTATCAGTAGACCTCTTGACTTTGATCTAACATCTGGAATTTTAGTTATGTCGCAGATCTTTTGGATTGCAGAGATGATGGCCAAATAATTATTTTTTATTGCGGCGACAACTTCAAATCGACACGCCTATCGTGTTGTAGAAAAAGATTTTAGAGTTTTAAGAGTTAAATTTATTTCTTTGGCTACTTTTTCTAATTTAGCGTGTCAAATACAACCAACTACCTTCTATAAATGTATACAAAAATTGTATTGTACCAAAGAAATCAAAAACTATTCGATTCTTTCGGCCAGTCAAATCTACCTATACTAAGTTTAGGCAATGCACATAGAATATTTTAGAATTTATTTCTTTGCATTTAGATTGGACACCGTTAGAGCATCCCGCCATAGTAGCTGTTACATCAAAGCACATGACAACTACATCCAACCAGCTGAGACCCAATTGTTTATCTACAATGGAATTTAGAGAATCAAAAATAAAATAATTGTAATAGATATTAAAAGTCCACAAGATGAAAATCAAATAATTTTTATTTGAAATCAAAATCTAAGAAAAAAAGTTTATACTATGTACCGCAATTATTATAATGTATTTATTATAATATAAATTAGATCAAATTTCGCAGGTCATGCCTGTGCATGACAGGCAAGACCTGCAAACACGCCTATGCGCTAGACATACATACATTTACACATTTGAATGGTTATCTGATAGCAACAAATGTTTTTTTCAGATCATTTCCCAGATAAAAAAAAAAAAAAATATTAAACAAATTCCCACCACGGAATATCAATAGTTCACGAGGCACCTAGATTATGTAATATCTCGGACACGTAAAATCAATGTGTAATGTATTTTTAGTTGTTTATTGTTGGATCGGTAAATCGTAATATAATAATTCACCCGATTGCAATATTATTATTGTAGCTGTGAACAAATAAGTAGCTAATACGTAATACAAAAAAAAAAAAAAACGTTTTGATACAATGTTATCTAATTCGTATTTATAAGATATTATAATATCCATAGTATGCATAATATAAATTATATTGTAATAGGTACAACTCTAGCGGTCACGTGTACAGCAGCAGTAGCAGACATTTTACAATACTGATTGAACTATTATTATCATTGTTGTTGGTAGCATATTTTTTCCAAACGTTACGGTTGATGCTTAGGTAGGCAGGTACCTACTACAACGGAGGTGAGTTGAAATCGAATGGATAGCGCAAACGATTTGAAAACTCAACGAATGACTCGAAAACTTCAAGAACCGAACGAAACAATGTGAGACGAGTTTAACCGGCTCCGCGTGAACAGCACAAATCGAGCGGATTGCGACCACACAATAAAATTCGTGGTCAGGTTTCCGACGTGAACGACGCACTGCACTGCGAGCGTTATCACAAACAACCATTATCAACGATTTCGATAGAATGTTTAAACATATGTTTAAGCTTCGCTTCGTATAATAATAATAGCTAATATCCTATAGTCTAGTTCTGTCGTGTCGTCGTACGCCTTGTTCCTTGTGAACTGGTGTCAACTGTACTTTCCGTCGTGAAACATGAAAAGCAAAATCAAATTAGTACCGCGTTCTTTCGAGCTTGAGGGATAGCCAATACTATTTGATTGCGTGCACACGTTTTTGGTTTTCGTGTCGTTCAAACGTTACCGGATCGACTAGATCGTGGTGAACAGCAATCCAATCGCGTTACGTTCATAAATGATTGATCAACTGCGTATGTAATTGTTTTCTCTCGAAGGTAAACCGAAGACATCCATACCCGTCAGATAATATGAGTCAACAACCAGACAACCATATCATGGTTAGTATTGCCTACGTTTGTATGTTGAGTCTTGTATTTTAGCTTGACGCACTTGAACTGCAAAGAATCTAAACAATCATTGGAACGTTTCAGTGTTCAAGTTTTACTAATTTTTTATTATAGATGATACATAAGCTACTGTAGCTTTAGAGTTAATGCATTGGTAGCATAATGTTACCATGTAGATAAATTTATTATAATAGTGTAACTTCATCGTGGCAACTATTGTTTTCAAGATTCTGTATGATTCTGGGGGACCTACAGCTTAAAGTAGTCTGTAAAGACTAACCCTACCCTCAGTGGCGTATACAAGGGGGGTGTTTGGTAGATATGACACCCCCCCTTGAGTCGTATCATATATTACATTATTATAGGAATATAGGTAAATCGATAATACAATATGAAATATAAAATAATGCACAATACTAATTACTAGGGAATGGATTTATATGTAATAAAAATACGGAAATATGTACATATATATGTAAGTATAATTTATAAAATATGTGCTAAAAACATCCAAATATGTGGGGGAAAAAAATTTAAAAAAAAAGTGATTATTATTATTAAATTATCAAAAAGATTTGTTGCATTGAATTATTACAATATCTTATAAATTATCAAATGTTAAATGTCGCCTATTAGGTAACAAAATATTTTTAAAACGGCTAAATTATCGTTTCACATCAACTGATGTATTAAAAGCATATTTCAAGTGCATACTATCAGAAGGTGATAATTCCAAATTTTTAAAAGGTTTTCTGCCATTCATTATGTTATTGATTGTTTTAAAATCAATATTGCCTGGAATTTTTTTCTGTAACAGCATGAATTTTCTTTTTTACAACATCTATTGGTCCGCTTACGAGTTTTAATCGCTGATTCAACAATTTGCATACTATCATTTGGGGACATATTTTTTATTAATAATTTTGTTAAATTATTTTTAATTAAAATTAAATTATTTTCAATGATTCATTTTGCATAATATTTTGAGCTTTTCCAATAGCAATAAAAGTTTCTGGATCTAATTTTGAAATAATTTCTTGTATTTTCGTACGAAGAAGACGTATGAATGATGAAATGATAAAAATATGTTTAAAAATATTTAAAAATTAGTGAAATATGTAAAATAAAAGTATCATAATTTTAATAGGAATGATTTAAATCATAAACATTTTTTATCGAATCTTAAATATCTCGTTTTAATAAAAATATGCATTTACATATAAATCCGTTCCCTACTAATTACATATATACAGGTTAACATTATCGCGATTGCGACAATACTTGACGAAAATTATTCGTTTACGTTTTCGTGCAACACAAAACGTTTAATAATAATAGGTATTGTAGCATCGAATACTTTTATTCGAATAATTTATGGTAAAGCTATCCGAATTCGAATATACATTACATCTCTATTACAGACATTATGTATACATATTAATTAATCAAAATAAAAGTTTTAGTTTGTACGTATTATATATAATATTTAATAATTACAATTAACACCCCCCTCATTCAGAAAATCCTAGCTACGCCACTGCCTACCCTTACACACTATTACAGTATATTTTAGATTCTGAGCAAGCAAAGAACTTATTGGATTTACGACAGTGTTTTTGTTATGAGTCAAGTATGTTTATCATAAAAATGATCTACATCATTAAAAATTGTATAATACTTAGTATTATTATATTATCAGTTTTTCAAGAATTAATTATTCATACAGTTTGTTTTCAAATTATTATAATCATTTTTTTAATGTCAACTTTATATTTTAAAGTGACATTTGAATGCATCAGTGGTATTTTAAATGTTTTCACTATCAATATTAATATTTTTCTCTCATTATGAATAATCAATAAGTTATAATACTATTTTTGTAACATAATTTACTGTAATAAGTTGACTATTTATTTTGACTCATTGTATAATTACAATTGTATTGTAATTATAATACAATTGTATATATTATAATGTATTTAATTAATTATTTTATATTTGCCTAATATAAATTGGATACTCCTAATATTTTACTTTTGCAATATTAATTTCTCCTTATGATTGACCTAACTTAATGTTTGTGATGCACTACATGTTTTATTGTCTATTTTTGTAAGGTGTTAGATGATGTGATTATTGATATTCAGTATTGAATTAAAAAGAATATCTTTAGTAAGACTATAACTTTGATGTTACTCCACCATTATTCTTTTAATAGCATCATTTGATTTGCATGGTTTATTAACTTTAAAGTTTTGTTCAATTGTTCTTGTCATAGCCTATATTTTATTGACAGTTTTTTTAGTTATTCATTAAGTAAATAAAACAATAAATTATTACTTTATGAATCAATACTAAAACCCATGTGAGAATACTGAGTTAATTATTGGGTTGTGCTTTAACTCTTTTTTAAATACAAGCCTGATCAATCAATATTTATGTTGCAAGAGCTATTTGTGCCTTGGTGTATTTCGTCTTACATTTCACTTAGACATAAAAATTAAAATTAATAAAAATGATTATAATGAACCAAACTACCACCCAAATTCATTATTAATTTCTTTTTTAGATAATAAATTAATACCAGGAATTTCTCACCCATTATTATCTAAAAAATAAAATAGTGAAATATCATGAAGCTCTCGCAAAAATAAAACTTTTTTCCTAAACGAAACAAAGTTTTTAGGTTTTTGTTGTAATTTTTTTTTTTTATAAAAGCATTACAATTTCATTTAATATATATGTAAAAAATAAATACTTAAATAGGATAAGGTGCCTGTGCCTAAACGCTAAATGCATAGTCACCAGTTCAAACGTGGTAATTGATAGTTTTACTTTCGGGATGGAACAACCAGCCAAAGGGAAATAATTGCCAAGGCTTTCCTATTCTAAATAAACCACCTAAATAAACACAACCATCATTCTTGATAAAAAGAATCAAATATCCATTGGTTTGAGTTGTTGCGGTTTAATAATAAAAAAAAAAATTACCTTATTATTTTATTGTATATATTATTGTTTAAAAAATTTTAATTAGATGAAATACTGATTATTTTTACCAAATTTAACTTACATAATTATTAAAGAAAGAAAGAAATTTAAAGAGAAACTCTAAGATTTTAATTAAGTATTTAGTATAAAATTATTAATATTTGTATTTAATATTAATAAATTATTTGAATCTATAGGACATTCCTCCTCCTGTTTATACAAACATAGTAACTAATCCTCAAACTGGTGAATCAGAAAATGGAAATGTTGAAGTTACACAGCAAACTTCTTCACAAAATCCAGTTCATTCACCAACATCACCACAGGTAATAAAATATTTATGCATCTTGATTATTTAAATTAATATATTATTTTTATTTGCTAGCATTATGAAGTGCATCCACCTAGATTAGACTTTTCAGCACCTCCGCCATATGAAGATTGTAACCAAGATTTTGTGAAGTTACCAACTTATGAGGAAGTGCAAATGGAAAAACGTTTAGAAGGAGAAATGTCTCCAAGATTGCCTGTAATTTTCATAATTAAATATTTTAATTTAAAAATAATGATATTCATACCTAATGATGTTGAGATATTGATAAAATAAAAACATTTTAGGGCAGAGTTATTGGAGGACCACCAAGTATTGGACCATTACCACAAGAAGTAATTATATCTGAATTTGTTTATAAATTATTGTTTAAAATACATATTTATCCTGGGATTAAATATTAAAAATGTATAGATATTATTGAATTATTTTAGTTGTTAATTTTAAGTGATAATGCAAACTTAATGTTTGAGCAATCACTTATTAAAATTATTTTGCTTCAAAATTGAATTGTATTATATTGATACTTATAAATTAACGAATAAAAGAATTATTAAGTAGAATACAATTATTTTAAAAGAATATATTATATTAATAGAATAAAATTGTATATTATTATTAGAATATAAGACCTGGAAAATCACATAATTAAATACTAATACTAATAAAATACTAAAATACTAAAATACTACACTTTGTCCCTTTGATTTTACTTTGATTGCTTCTTTAATAAGTATAATATTAGGAAAAAGGAATTAATATTTTTTTTAAATATATGCAATACTATAAATTTATATCTAGAATTAATTTAATAGTCTGTACATTTACACAATCATATGTATATATGTATTTTTATATGTATATTTAATTTAAATTTAAAATGTGTATCTGTAAGTAATTAAATTCATAAATAACTAATAATATTTATCCAATATATGTTAAAAGGCAGTTACTCTACATAATATAGTGTGAATATTAAATATATTTCCAAAAATTTAAAAACAATTTTTTTCCAATTCTACAGGAGTTTGGTAATTAATGCAAATTATGGAATGCAGACTGTGGTTGTTTAATCTTGCTACATTTTTCTGTACAATTTCTGTATTAAAATTTTGTATTCTTATCTTATTTCATCATATTCTTCAAATTTTTTTCAGTAATACATTTATATAAGTATCATAGTGAATTTGGAATTTTGAAAAAAAATGAACATTTTGTGTAGTATCAAAATAATGTTTTTTGTCTGGATAAAGGTTTTTTTTAATACAATATTAATAATAGTTAAAAAAATTTTTAAGAAAAATGTATTCTATTATTTCAAGTATCAAAATGAAAGTTAACTTATTAATTATAATTACATAAAATTTATTTTAATTTAGTATAGTTTATAAGCATAATTAATACAAGTTCATTAAATATAAAAAAAAATTAAAATTAAACTAAAGTTTATACATAGTAAAATAATTGATATTTATAATTATACCAGATTATATTTTTAAATTTATTTCATTTTTAGTTTTCATATTTTATGTATTATATTATTTGTTATTTGTTTTTAGATACCTGCACAAACATTGACTGTTCTTACAATCGATGCTGCTCCTAATCCATGTGAAATTGATACTAATCTATTAGGCACAGATTATATGTTTTTGACTGCATTTTTAGGTATAAATAACTATTTATATATATTTTTAATTAAATGAAATAATTTTAATGTAACTAATTATCACAATTTATTTTTATTAATTTTTTTTAATGTTGATATGAATAGTTTATTTTATAAATAAAACTAATATATTTCATATGTATACAGTGGCATTGCTATTCAATTGGGTGGGTTTCTTGGTGTTGATGTGTTTATGTCAAACGGTTGCGGCACGTTATGGAGCACTTGCTGGATTTGGATTATCATTAGCAAAGTGGACAATGATAGTAAAACGCAATACTGAAATGTCTGATTTATCACCAGAAAATCGATCAAATACATGGCTTTGGTGGTTAGTTATGGCATTTGGATTTTTGATATGTATTCGTGCTGTTATACAATACATGAATATTAAACGTGGATGGAGACTGCTGAGTGTTCCCGCACAAGAACGAGTGCTATATTTTTATTAAATCCATAATATAATGGTAAAGTATTTGAGATATTCGTATATTTATTAACATATTTTTGTTTGTTTTATTTTATTTTTCAAACCATAAGAAATTTGTTAAATCACAGTTAAAAAACCCTAAAAATTTAAGATAAAATTAATGCATTAAATAAATTAAGAAATAATAGTATCCTCATTTATATATAAATAGCTGTTGGGGTCAGGAGCTTAAAATGTTATTACTTTGGCCTGGTTACCTTGTTTTTTGTTTATTTATTAAATTGATTTAAGTGATTTATACGACCAATCAACAGTGTGTAATAAGGTTGATAACTGAATTAGTTGATTGATACATGGTTGTCGATCAAACTTGATAAGCTACGTAAAGCTTCCATGAAAAATATATAATTGTATAGATGAGTGTAGGTACTAAAACTATGTAAGATTTGAAGACAACTTGATAAAATGGTATCGATGTGTTACTAAATAATTAACAAATAATAAATTACATCAACATAAAATACAATAGTATGTAAATATTAGTCCTTAGCTTTGGTTCAATAAAATGTAATTAAAAATAATGATAAATGTACAATAAAACATCATGGTATGGTCAGTATATAAACTGACTAACCATAACCACTTTACAAATAATAAATACTTACAATATCCTTACAGCAATTAGGGCACACATCGATAAAGGCATGTTGTTGGGCGTTAGTCACAATTATTGATAAGTGTTGTAGTTAAATACTTCTGGCACTTTTTAAGTTTATGGATGGGTAACCATACAAGCTTTCAGTGATGAAGCTATATCTTTGAATCACTTTTTCAAAAAACAAACACTCATGTTATCTTACTACAAAATCAGCATTACTTCTATTAGCCTGTTTCTAAAGTTTCTGGGGCTTGGATCAATTTTACAAAAATGGAGGATCAAAATATAGTTATATATCATGGCTATTTGTGCTTATGATCATTTAATATTATAATATAACACAATAAAATAGTACAAAATAATAAAATTTTGAATGACCAACTATGAAAAATATTTTAAAATTAACTTTTCACTTACAGTTATTGATACATATTATGTGGATGTGAAAGTTCTTTTATAACAATAACTAATTTACAAACTGAAGTTATAATAAATTAAAATTTACGTATCTTATATATTATAAATTTATTTATAAAACAAATATTAGTGGATGATGGCTTATGTATATATGCATTTGTTAATGCTGATTGGTCGTTGATCCTGAAATCATATATTATTATGATAAGGTGATAGGTCTTGTAATAACATTGCAATATTGGTAAAAATCATAGTTATTAATAATTGTAAACCTGGCGCAAACAAAGCAATAACTACGCAGTGGCCATTCTATATTAAAACTTATTTTTAAATATTAATTATTGAAAATATAAGATGTATTAATTAACTGTTTCATAGTTTTTGATTATTCTGATTCATCAAATATTTATCAATTTTAAAAGTGTTAAGGTTTTATTATTTTTGAGTTATTTTGATGGTTATATTAAAGTTATAATACATTCTGGATAAAATTTAAAGACAACCTATGTTTATGTATATTACTTGTAGGCTTATAACTATAAAAAATACTTAACAGTTATATTTATTTATATGATTGAATATCAAAACTAATTAGTATTTGGGTGATAAATTTTTACTTTTGAACTGATCTTTGGTAGCTTATTTTAAAGTTATAGCAGAACTTTTGATCTTAATTTTTGTAATTTTAAGTGAAAATCGTACTTTTTTTGTGAAATTTAATTAAATCACTTTTAAAATCATATATGCTGACGTCTTTAGAATAATCATTGATTTAAAATAAACAAGTTGACACATTGACAGTATCACAAATAAAAGGATAAAATAGTTACATGCTACGAAAAATAAGGTATTATTTGATGTTGATGATTTTAAACGCACCTTGGAATAGAGTTATTAACAAGTGAATCTTTGAGTGATCTTTGTTAATGTAGAGTTTTGTGGTATGATGATCAATAAGCTCCATAACATGGTTTTTCTGGTTATTTTAAAATCAACGATAATAGTACTTACTACTTATTTGATAGTTAAAAGCTAAACTTGGAAATAATAAATTCCATCCATTAATATCTGTGATTACTAGCATTTTCTTTATGCCATTTATTATTTTTATTTTCTGTTAAATATTTTTTTTTTTTTAGTTTTTATTATTGTGATTTAATTTCCAAGTAATATAAGTTTTTTCTTATCAGTTCAAGCATTTTTTGGAGACACATTTTCTTTGTTAAACATGTTAATATTTAAAATGATAATACTATGTTTATTTTACTATGATTATAATTAATAAATAATGTATCCTAAAATTTAATTGGTAATCCATTAAAATGCATTTATTGGTACTTTATTTATAAATATATTTAATTAATAAAACTATAAAATAATATTAATATTTATGTACTGTTAATTCAATCAACCATTATTCATTGATTTGATTTTCAAACGCTTATTTATTTGAAAAATTAATTAAATTTATTCTGTCATATTTTCTTGATTAAATGATAGATATAAAATTCAAAAACAAAATGCTTTAAAAATTAAATTATTTTATATTTTAAAATGTTTTTTGTTAAAATCATTTAGAATAGGTATATAAAAATTTTTTTAGGGTAATTGATAATAAAATAAGATAGTATTTTTGTCATTTTGACTACAGAGCAATGCTTTTCAACTATTGACATACTAAGATGGGAGGCTATAAAGCCATACAATTTTATGCATTTGTCAATTGTATATTATGTAATTTTTTTGAAAAAAAAGAAAACAGAATAATTAATGAGGAAATATACAATCCAATTTACTCCTTTTGTAAATTGTTAACATATAATATAATATATAATAATCTTAAATATTTTAAATATTTTTGTGATTATTTAAAAAAAGAAAATCAATGAATAACATTTATAGGATTCTTTTAACAGATAAGTTAGCTTTTATGTAGGGATATACAAATATTAATCTGATAAAAAATGATCTGAAGTTATAAAGAAAATGTATGTATAAATTCAAAATATTAGATAATAAATATAAAAATGCATATGATTTATTTTGTAAATTGTGTTATTGTATTTATTATGGTAATTATTACTATGCTATTTTTTGTTTAAAATATTATCAAGTTTGTGAATTGATCATAGTAATATTGATCTATTTTTTTGTAATTTACAGTTATACTAGTTAATAGTACAATTATAAACATTTTCTAGATTATACAAAGAACAATAAGTATGTGTTTTTATGTATTTTTCATTTTTCTATTTTAGATTGACGTTTATGTGTGATACACTTTTTAAACACATTGTAGTTTCATACATGAATTAAATTGTTTAAAAAACCCTACAATTACTATTATTCTATAATTATACTTATTGTATTATTCTCACATTTAACATAACTCTTTGGTGATCTTTGTTGCATTTTATTTTATATAGTATTAAAAACTATATTAAATGAAATGTATTGTTTAATTATTTGTATAATTTATGTTGATATCTGTTGGTTTATTTTATGTAAAAAATAAATATTTAGAATATTGATAAAAAAAATTGTTTGTTTATTTCATATAATTGTTACATTGATTCTTTGAAATACTAAATATCTAACTTATGAATTTGAATTAAGTTTTTAAACCATCTTATTGTCATGCCATTTTTGTTACAATAATTAGGTACATCAGTTTCAACAATAAGATGTTAATTATACATTTTTAACAATTGTTAGTAATTGTTAATTACTATTTTTCAAAATTGTGAAATTAACAAAAACGATGATTTTTAGAAATAGGTAATGTAAAATAATATGTAATATAATTTTCAAAATTCACATTGCAATGTACAATTTTTTTGTCATAATTTAAATTGTTTTTTTGCATAAAACAATTTCTCAGTTAATACATTAATTTTAATCGGTCTCTAGGATAGTCTTTAACAGATTCTACTGTATTGTTATTTGGTATTTTCGAGTTGTATCATCACCAAGATATTAAACTATTGTTGAAATTGTAAATAATATTAAAATAAATACATTTCACTTTAGTCTGTGGAGCCGAATCCACATATGGTTAAAATATATCTCATATTTTTCTATTAACTTACATCTTAATAATTTAATAACTTAAGTCTATAATGTTTACCTCTCATAAATTCTATACTGAACATTGTTATTTTATGTTTCTGCATTAGGTATATAAAACCTAAAGTGGGCTCGCCCGTTTAATCATATTAAATAAATATAAAGTGCGGTAACTGCAACACCTTTTTACAAGTAAGATGGTCCAAGAACTAAGATCATTTAAGTTAATAAATTTGTTCTGTGATGGAAAACCAATCGCTCCATTTATATTTAATGTAACTTCTTTATTTCTCCAAGTAACTACTGGGAAGCTGATAACAGGTACCTACTGATTTAATTTCATTAAACATATTTGAGAAAATCGAAAATCTCAATTATCTTTAAATTATAAAAACTTCATTAAAATAATTAAAATATGTTATATTTAAATTATACTATCTTTAACTAAGTATATTGTTGAATGAAAATTCGTTGAAAATCCAGGTTTTTTGAAATTATGTTTAATGTTTTTCTTTAATCAGTAATAATAAATATGTAGAGGATGTTTGTATTAAATATTCAACACTTTTTGTCAAACCAAAATTATTTTAATATTTTTGAAAAAAAAGCAAAGAGAATATGAATATTTAAAATGTCTATGGAAATTAATAATAAAAATTAAATTCTATGAAAATTATACCACTTATAGCAAACAGATGATGTAACATTTCATGTCTTTATTTTTTGAGTAACGATGAAAACAAAAATTCGATTATGTTAAAAACCTGTAATTAAACTGTTTAATTTTTTTAAATTTATATCTCCGAAAATAACAGCTAAAACCCATTTTTTATCTACTGTTTTTATTTGACGATGATCATACAGTGCCGTAAGTAGACCACTCGAGGCCCGTGTGCGAATCAAAACCTTGAGGCCTCTAATCATCAAGCGTTTTTTAGCATTTAACCTCTTGAGGCCTCATAATAGTTCTAGGCCCGGGGCCTGTGTGCCTAACCTGTAAAAATCAATACATTTCTTCATTTTATTCAAAATTTAAAAAAAAAACGGCCGATATTGTAATGAACAATGAACAGTGGAAACCACGGTTATCTGAGGGATAACAGTATGAATGTTGTAGTGGGAATTTTCTTGGTTATTTTATTTACAATTTTTGTAAATCCATCATGCAGTCCGGCGAAGGAAACTTCTACGCCCTGATGCGATTGATTTTCAATGAGCTGTCTGCCATCGTACAAGTTTTCATTTCGCTGCTCGTGATCATGTTCACCATGATCCTGGTCACCGCCCGGTTGATCGAGTACTTGCTGGACGTGGCTCACAGCTATTGCGTGTACGCGATCGCGATCAAAGTTATCATCATCACGTCGCTGGTCTGGTGGATCTACTTCAACCGCCTGATCTAAAACTTTATGTTTTAAGTAGAAAATTAGGTAACCATATTTAATGAATCACCCTGAATAGGCTTAATTTTAGTTATTAAAATAATATCCTATTCGGATGGGTATTTATCATTTTTATTTTATGTATTATATTTGAGCAATTGTATAATAATTAAAAAATCAAGCCGTATACACCTATATGATTTACATATTTTTTTTTTAATTATTTTGTTTTTACTGCTAGACATGTGTCATCTAGCAACTAAATAATTGATCGTAAACTGTCAAAATTAAACCGGTTCACATGTGAATTCTTGGGTACGTAATACTCCAAATTTCATGATTTTTACTCATGAATTTGTTTGAAAAATGTTATGACCCACGACAAAAAACTGTATAAAATTATTAAAAAAATCTGAAAATCGTACAAGAATAGGCCGAAAAATAATATTATGCTGAATATGATGTTAGAGATATACCATTAATTTTAAAATCTCGAAAATATTTCTGAAAAGAAAAAGAAGTGATACGTTTATGTGATTGCATATAGAGAGGATATAGTTGTGTAATGATATGCGCCTAAGCATTAATATATTTTTATAAAATTGAATGTATAATTAAATAATTATAATATTCGATAGCCATTAAATATAATAATAAGTCGTAAGTATTAAAGATAAGATATTACACGCGTGCACACACACACACATAGACAATATCATATGTAAGGAGTATAGTTTTTTAGTTAAAAGAGGAGACGCGTTCTTGTTGTCCTTTTGTATAGATGGTCAAAGGCGAGTGTAAAAGACTACGCAGATCGTCTATGCAGAAAGACATAATTAATCGTAAAACGTTCTGTAAAAATTTAAAATACATGTATTAATGTGTGTAAAAAGAAGTTTAAATAAAATTATTAAAAGTAAGTAAAAGAAAATGTTATTAATATTTTAAAGTACGAATTGGTTACCTTATCTCATTCCTCAAACGTTAACCACGGTTTTCAACAAGCAGGTCAATACAATCACCGGAGAGGTAATATTAAATATTTATAATATAATAAGTAATGATTTAAAAAAAACATATAAATACTTTACTCATAAATTAACATATAAAACTATAATTTATAAATCATTACAGTTGTAATATATATTTACTGTAATATCACAATATCACATAAGAATTTGAGCACAATGGAAACTATTTGTAATCGTGTTGTAACATTACCCATGTAACTTATAATAAATAATAATAAAAAAACCAATGATTGATATGCGTTTTACTAACGACGATATTATCTTATTTGAGGATCACTTTATGAAATAGTATATCACAAGTATAATATTCAAGGAATAAGCTTATAATTCTTATCAGTTTAACTATGTTAGTTGGCATATTATTTATGAATTAATTTTGTTGTGTATTTATAAATATAATGATTTTTCTAATTTAAATATATGTACCTATTATTATATATTAATATATATATATATATCAGTTGAACTATTAGATTATTTCTATTTGAATAACTTTTTTCTAAACGAGTATCTCATGTTAGGCGCGCTGCACACTTAATCTAAATAGTTTTAGAAACCAATTTGAGAAACCAATTTCAAGAAACTAGGTTGATGAAACTAATTTCATATTCGCGTACACCGGTGAAACTAAAAATGTATAATTTCGACAATGTCGTCTGATGATGAGGATGTGTTTATGTTATATTGGTGGCTTCATAACAAAAAAAGATACGTAAGTATTGAGTTCATCCACTTTTAAAAAATAAGCAGCACAGTAGCTATGTAGTTGCAAAGGAATTAATCGCTGATGAGGAAAAAATCACAAACGATATTTTTTATAAAATAAACAACAAAGATAATATTGGTCAAAATGTATATACTGCAGTGTATAGTTTATATATTTTATTAAAATATGATAAATAAATGAAATAAATAACATGAACATGTACTTACAAAATGTATTATAATATATAATATTAATATTATTATTATTATTATTTATACACAACTTTGTTTGTTGAAACCAAAATTACAAGTTTCATGAAACCGTGGTTGCGCAACTATGAGAAACTTTTGTTTCATGAAAGTCAGTGTGCGTATCTATTTGATTTTCAATTGAATCGTTTCATGAAACTAAAGTTTCATATTTTATGAAATTAATTTCTTAAAACTAGTTTCTTCAGTGTGCCCGTCTTAAACAATAATATATTCCCTCGATTTCTAGTTTTTTTTTCCAAGATTTTCGAACACAATTTTTTTAATTTTTGGTATCAACTATTCATCTTAAAATATACTTGTTTTATTCCTATATTTTTTTTAATACTTATATCTACCAAAATATTAGTTATTTCAGTAATTAGATACAACAAACTCGAAAATTATATTATTTTCAAAGACTATTTAAATTCGTTACAAGTTTTTTGAGCATTGTTTACAAAAGTTCTATGAAATCAAAAATACTGACAAAAAGTTAGTAAAAAAAAACATCATGATTTCTTGGATACACCGAGCCACAGCAACACAAATAGAAACGAAAAATTAAATAATAGACGAAACCAATAGAAATTTTTGCGCGTACGAATCACTATACAAATGTTTTATACCTAAACTGAGTCTCGATGGTGATCTGAATGGAGAAGAAAAGAAATCAAATTCAATGGATAAAATGAATAAATAACGTTGTAGAGAACCAGAATACTTCAAAATAGAAATAGAAGTAATTCTAATTGGATTAAGAATAGCATATACTCGAATCACACACGGTCGCATCATGTGCAAAGAAGACTTATCCTAAGCTTTCATTTGTGGACTTTAAATATCACTCACATAGTTCAATGTTCACAAACATAAGCGTTCAGAAAAAAAGTTCCGGAGTCTCTCTATCTAGTTCTAGGTAAAGAAGATAAAGGCAACACTAACAGCCAAGTCCTACCATTTGTAACAAAAATTAATTTAGAAAATTAAAAGCTACCAATATCGACTGAGCATAAATTTAATATTAGTTTTATTATTATTATCAAGTTAATTTTGTCACCCAATGGTTCAGTTGTCGATTCATATTTAAATAAAATAAAAAAAGGTTTAAAAAAGGTTTGATGGCTAAGTATATAAATATAATGTTATGGTCAGAAAAATTAAATAGTTTGTCTAAATTATATGAAAAAATAAACTTAGTTTTTTATAGGTGAACAATCTTGTTAAATATCAAATTATCCACTTAGGAAAATTAGTGATCTATATTACATTAGTTATTTTGTTGTTATTATTTGGATATTATGTTTTGCTTTCAAAGTAATGACGTTTTCACAAAATAATCGGTTTATAATTAAAAGTAAAAGATTTTAAGTGAGAACTATATTTTTTTTCACTAGTTTTGACTAGTGAACAGGATATATATACCTATAGGTACTCTTATAATAAATATAAATATTATGGCAAAACCGAGCTGAGAATTATATTTTTCATTGACCCCTGTAACTCAATATACCAAATGGTTAACTTATAAACACTCTAATTAATTATATTAAAAACGACTTTAATTATTTTTGTTTTCATATACAATTAGATTATCGTAGGTAATTTCAAAGTAAATATTTTTCCAAGTAAATTTAGAGATTTTTTGATTGCTCAATGTTTAGGTGACCTAACCTTCTTAAAGTTGTGGATACATATTTTATGGGAATAGTTTTTACTTTTTTCGCATATGGTACACTTAAATATTTTGTATATTCGATGTATACTACTAGATGATTAATTTAATTAGGTCAACTATTTTTCAAATTTAGATATTTGGATAATTTTTATATACCAAAAGACTATTATTTTCTAATACATAGATCTTCTGTATCTATTATGAATAGTATATAAAGTATATTATATATATTTACCTTTGTCAATATCAACTTTTGTTTTTCAAATGGAAACACGATTTTCTTTTGAAAATAATTATTCAATTCAATTTTAATTTTCAATTTTTTATGTAATATGGTCAACATTTAGATAAGTTGGTAATTTTGAACTTATTGCAATTTAAAAATATATTGGAAAAGTGTAAAATAATTAGAATACCGATTGATAACCTTCAAAATAACGCAAATATTATATAATGTATTATTGGAGCGAATATGTATAAAAATTATCGATAAATACCGGTCATAGGTGAGTTTTTGTTTATTCACATTCTTCATGTAAAAAAAAAAAAAATCAATATTCTAATTTTTTTTAATTTTCTGTGCACATATATGAGTTTGAATAATTCCTAAAGTTCAAACATAAAATTGTTCTTTAACATTTATTAATGTTCAAATTCTACGTTTATTTAATATTATAATTTAAAATATAACAATAAATATTTGTCATTGGTATTTTTATACTATTTCAGATTACCTGAAAAGAAAAATAAATTTATAATATTGTACATTAATAGTAAATGAACCACAACTACATGTAGTTCTTATTTCAAATTGCATACGAAAATAAGCCGAAAATTCCAAATTTCCCTAAAAATAATAAGTTTTAAAAACAATACTCTTAAATGACAATGTTTCATAATTAGTAATAAAAAAAATATATATATTACCTAGTATTTTACGTTTTTTAAAATGTCAATTGTGTACAAACGAGTGGTACTTAGATGTAGAATAGTGGGGAGTTAGTATAGATAACGTGCTCTCTTTGTCAACGTGTATTAAAGAAATAACTCTCTTAATTGGAAGTAGGTAGATGGTTATTTTGTGTTCTTGTAACAAGTTCGAATAAATAATATTTAGCAAAAATGATTGTTTTAAATATCATCACATTAGCTTTGGCTATTTCAGCTGTGGCTACCTCGAAAGTACAAGTGAGTAAATATGATTAAAATAATAAAAATAATTGATTACCTAAGTAATTTTTATTATAGACATTTTTATTATAAGTGCACTTTTTATTTATCCAAATTTTAAATATAGTGTGATAATAATAAAATTACATTATATATACAGAAATACATTTATTAGAAAAATCTTGATATATCCTCAAAAATTATCGTAATTTATGGGGGGAGGGTTGGAATAGGATTTTTTTCCCTTGAGGCTAAAACTTAAGAATCTAAAATCTTAGAATTTAATTCAGAGAGTAATTTTAGTAGGTAATTACAATAGTGTTTGTGTAATATTAATATAGCGTAATATAATATAATATTGGAATATAAATATTTAAAATTAGTTTTTTCAAGTACATTATCCCATGATTATTAACGATAAATCGATTTCATGAATTATTTAAAGTTAATCCACAACTGAAATATAAAAATATTTTTGTGTAAAGTTAATTATGTTAAATTTTTAATATTGACTATCAAATCAACTTTAAAATAATACCTCCATTAAACTTAGGTGTTTTTAAGTATTGTTTTTAATTTTAAACAATTATGTTAATACAATAGTAAATTAATTTATTACTATAGGAATGTTTTAAATGAATATGTATTTTTTTTTGATTTAATATTCTTGATACAAATAGTTTTTATAAATTTTACCATCAATACATATTAATAAATGATCTACAGTTAAAATTGCATATAATATGTAATCTGAATACACCATGATACTATCATATTGTATCATCATAATACCATGGTGCATCCATAATATACGTCTACAGATTTATATAATTGAATGGGTGTTTTATTATTAATTTTTCATATTAAGTATGAGAGTGTTCCAAATGAAAATGAATGGATTTTCGTTGCTCAAAATTCTGTGAAAGATTCTGTGACCAAAGTCAAATCATACGGAGAAGAAAATGAAAAATTGAAAGTGATTGCAAACGGAGCGTTTAACTCCTTCGCAGAATTTGCAAAAAAAAGTTTGTCTGAAATCATTGAACAGGTACCTATTTTTGTGTATTATTATTGAAGCAAGTGTTTAAAAAGAAAATAGGGAATATTTTTTTATAAAATGCTTACAGTTTTAATGAATACAAACAATGTATCAGTCATATCAACTATACTCTATTAGACCAAGTATAATGAAATCTGTGAAACTTTTTTATTGCTTAAAAATTGTGATTTAAATGTTTTATTTTTGTTTCCACAGACCAATAAGACTGAATCGGAGGAGGTTTTAAGGTTAAAACGGCAATTTTTGAAGTGGGCAGAAGTATTAGAAAAATTTAATCAAATGTCCGAGAAAACATCTACTAATAAAATATTGGGAAAATTTATCTTTACTATAGATTTTATTGTAAATGAAATTGTTGGATTTGATAAGTATAACCGTTTCAAATCATTTGAAGCCAATCAAATTACAGAAAAACTCAAATTATTACTTAGAGTATCTGCTGCTAAGTTGGTAAAATATGCAAAATCCATGGAGGTATATGTATTTTTGTATAAAATCATGCTAGAACACAAAATTAATATCATATTAATATGTTTTTAGGATCAAGTTACTGAAATGTTCAAAACTGATTGAAGAATGAAAAAAAATTGTTTTTGATTTATTTATAAAAATATTATATAATTTTAATATCTGTAATCACTATTCATATATAAATAACCAATTTTATTTAGATAGTTTTATTTAGATTAATGGACTAATACTATATTATATTATATACATATATATATTTTTTTTTTTTAACATTTACTTACTAATTTATAATCAGTAAATTTTAAAAATTTAACTAAATTAATTTAATTTTACATTTAAATATTATTATTATAATTTAAATACAACAATAATTTAATGTAAAATCAAATAAGTTGTTTACTCTTGAAGCAATACATAAATTTAGTGATAGTACTTTGATAGTATTTTCATAAAAATTTATTAAAAATATTGGTGCTATAATAATTTATAAAGATATGTAGTTCGTTGTATTTGACTCGTATAAAATAATAAAACGTTTTTAATTACATTAATTTGTAGCAACATACCTACATAGGTATTTCATCAAAATTAATCATTTTTTTTTTTTTTTACTGTAATTCATATTTTATTTTTTACTTACTTAAAATATTCGTATTATTGTTATTTTTTTTTTTTTTTTTTATTGATGTTATAATATCGCCACCTAAAATATTGCTTAACTTCGTTTTCAAGTGGTGTGATATTACGAATTTTAAAAAAAAAAGTTAATATTTTCTTCTTATTCTCTTTAACCTTTCTCTGAACTATTTGGCGTCACTTTATTCTAAACCTTCAGTCGTCTCGTTTTTTTACATCCCCTACGTACACACCAATAGCTCTTATATTATTCTCAATGCTATCCAACCATCTCTTAGTCTTCTTCTTCCTCTTTTCTCTTCAGCCTTCATTTTCATAACCCCTCTTACTGCTTTTGTTTCCTCTCGTCTCATCACATCATATTCACATAATATGATATATTTAATTTTTTTTGTTATACGCTAAAATAATTTCTATAGTTTGGTAAACACTGAAAAATAAAGAAAATAAGTGATACCTACTTTGAATATTTTATCAAGTATATAGTAAAAGTTATGATTAGATATATTAGTGTGAATGATATAGTCATAATAATTTTTATAAACCAATCGAATTAATGGTGTTTTAATATTGTTAATTGCGATTTGTATAATGTATTCATTAATTATATTAATTGTTTGGGATAATCTACAAACTAACTGTAGTTATTATACAACGTGGAAATAGTCTTAAGGAATAATCATGTCCTTGGTAGGTATTTCATAATAGTTATCATGACCTTCCACAATGTTTGGAACAATTAAATATTAGGTTTAGTTATTTCAATAGGATAGTTTTATTATAATATTGTTCCATAAATAATGCATAAACGTATTCAGAATAGTATACGATGTATATAATATTATATAGATGCACTTATGAGAATTATGATTGCTTTGAATGGAACCCTATAGTATAATATAAGAAATCCACTTCAATAGTAAAAAAAATAGTCTCGAAGAAGCGTTTCAACCGTTTCGACGTTATTCGGAGTGATTTGGGGTATGTATTTTTTATTTTACTTGTTTAAATTGCACGGTTCATTTAACAGTGATTATTGAATTGAATTCATAGTAAACTTCGGTACCTAAAATAACAATTTTTTTTTTTTTTTTTTATTTCAATTTACTTTTATTTAAAAAATAAAAAAATTAGATAGACATTATAAACAGCCGCGAATCATACTAATTTATTACAGATTTCAATCTAATTTGTACGTATTATATTTAAATTTATCAACCTAGATGAATGTTGTTGGTCGTCAGGAATGTCTTACAGAATACCGAAATCGCTTTTTTTTCCTTGCACTAATTTTGTAAAACATTAAACGAATTATAAGTTCGATTATTCTCGGTAGCCGAAGACGATTTGGTTAGAACCAATTTATCTTTTCGACCGTCAAATTAACTATAACGCGTGGGAACTAAGCAATTATGGTGGACGAAACCAGAAACCGTTCATGACATTGTCCGGTTATTAGACTCACGGGCCGCAGAGCGCCATCACGATTTGAACTGGTTCCAAACAGAAGAGAGGTGGATATATAATACGTCATGTGGATACCGTTATGCGCGGTTCTGTGCGCTCATCTCAATGTTAGTGCGTAAGGTCGTTGATCTGGTCGTACAAGGTGGATTTTTGTCGCGCGTGGTGCCGCATAATCGATAGATCGTACTGAGTGTTTTATTTTTCAACGCTTAAATATTTTATATATTTTATAAGATAATATGCACCGTAAAAGTGATTTATCGTCACCGAATCCGCGTGAGTCTATCGAGTGACACACTCCAGTTACAGATGTGGTTTTTCGTGTTATCAATGTTCAAGTGATTCGTCATCGTCCGTATCGTTATCGTATTTCCAGTAACTGCTAACGATGTTGTACTGGGATTTCACATCGTAGAAACAACGTTACCACGAGAATCGGGAAAACTGGTATGTGGTTCGAAGAGTACATTACAATACTGTGTCGTTTTCAATAAATATAAGTAGGTATTGCTATAGTAGTAGTATAACCGTTGAATGTCTTAACATAATAACACACATACGGGTTCAATGTAGTAATTGAAAATGTCAAACGATTACCATTCCATGGGGTTGTACAGCGATAATATTTTGAATCGAATCTTGAAACGGTACACCGTTTTATAAACGATATAAGAGTATTGACATAACAGTAAAATGTAGTATTTGAAAAAAATAAATAAAAAATAAACATCATGAATACGCACCCAAAAACGTATACTATTAAGACGTATGATTCTTGTACGCGTATCGTGTGATCCACTTAAACGGTGCGCGGCGAACAGTATAATAGTTCTATAGCACGTAAAACGTTATTTGTGAAAAACCATATAGGTTTCGATTTCTTTTATCGTCGGGTTTTTTATTTATTTATTTATTTTTTTTTACGTATCCTGTGCGATCGACTCTTACGATTTGGAAAATAGGTTAGAGAGACATTCGCACACGCGGCATCGATATATATTAATATTATACCTACGTGCCGGTCGTCACGTCGGTCGCCGTCGTTCCTTTCTTCTTCGTCGCTATATATATTCTGCCGACCAACTAAGCAATATTGGCACGTACAAGTTTCAGACTAACCGCCGCGAGTTGTACACCGACCTCGAACACCTCACTACCGGACGGTGCACGGCACGCTTTTGTTTTTGTCGGCTCTTGTTCACGGAAAACCATTATTCATTTCAGAGTTCATATGAGTGGTACCCATGAGTGGCGTAGAAGTAATACCGGCCGTTGGAGCGATAGCTGGAGCCGCGTCACAGGTAGCCTGGTTTTTACCAGTCCTGGTCGCCGCTATAGCCTATTTCCACTACGAGGTGACCGATCCCGAGTCGAGGATCATAGATCAGCCCGGCGACTTGATACTCGGCGAATACGATTTCATTATAGTCGGCGCGGGATCAGCAGGTAGAATATACAACATTACAATAACATATAAATGACACAATTACATGTTAAAGCTATTGCAGTTTACGTATTATGGTATGTTATTCCAATGTAAAATCAAGGGATCTGGTGGACGAGTTGACTTTTTACTGCATAGAAGATTAATTAAGATTAAAACTATAAATTACGAGTTAAACAGAGAAAAATCATTTGATTTAACTCAGGTCACAATAAGTTCTTTTTTAATTTTTTTTAACTAAACAATACAATCGCATGTTTATTTAAAGTTATACCTTTAAAAATATGCTTATTTCGATCACTATTTCCATCTTAGAATAATGCATTCAACCCCCCACAATTACAATTCCGATTGTTTTGATTAAAAACAATAATTTTTACAAATAATTTATTTTTTTTTTTCATCTCTAGAATTTAAATTAATAAAAAAAATAATTGAACGTGACTAAACAATGAATTAATTAATGAGTAGTTATGTATTTATTGCATGAAAAAATTAATTGAGTTTTTTTAGAAAAACTATGATCGTTAAGTAACTATTTAATTCATTATAATATTCGCTATGCTTTATGTCTTATAATAATATTATATTATATACTATCTTCGTCGTGTGATGATTATCAAGAATTTATAACAACTTCATATGTTTCGTACAAAAATACAATAAATATTTTATAAAAAAGTTTGTAGTGTGTGTATAATGTACCTATAGGTGCGGTACTTGCGAACAGATTGACTGAAGTTGAAGATTGGAGTGTACTGTTAATAGAAGCCGGTGGAGATGAAACTGAACTATCCGACGTACCTTTATTGGCTGCTTACTTACAACTTACCCAGCTTGATTGGCAGTATAAATCCGAACCCCAGGATACAGCGTGTTTGGGTGAGTAAAAATTGATCGATTACAACTAGTAGAGTTTGTTTTCTGTAGACAGTGGCGTAATGAGGGGGGGGGCAAAAGGGGGGCAAGTGCTCCCCCTGACAATTTTTTGAGAGATTAAGGTATAATTTCGCCCTCAGATAATCCAACAGTACAAATAGCACCTTTTATTAATGAACTTTTATTTGTATTATTTAACAATATTGGTACCTAGTACCTGCTACCTACAATTTATGTTAATCTAAACCACAAAATGAGTTAAAAGATTTATGTAAAATCAAATAATTAGATATACTGTATAAAATGCATACAATAAAAATATGTTTTAACTGGTGAGGGGGAGGGATGTCAGGGTTTTGGTAATAATAAATATATTATATTGCCCCCCCCTAGATTTTTTCCCAGTTATGCCACTGTCTGCAGATATATTTGTTATGTTTAACAATTTTTTTTACAACTGTCCACTAACACTATTTTCTTAATTCAAGTGATCCAATTTGTTTTATTTTTTTTTAATATAGATCTTCTTCTTTCTTGGTTCGGCTTTTAAGATTACAACACTAATTATATGGCTTGCCATCTATCCTCCCTGCCCTCTGCCACTTAACTTTTCCATTCAATTTACGTTCCTATAGTTTTTTCATCTTCTCTTATAATTCTTCAAAGTCTTCCCACCTTAAACTGGGCCTCTTTAAGAGTTTTTCCCTCTTAGGCTCTTTTTTTATCGTCTGCTTAAATTGTAATTCTTGCTTACAAAAGGCATACTCCCCTCCATCATATTAGTCTTATTTTAGTTATCTCCGATATTAAACTTCTGGAACTGCGTTTGGAGTTCATAATTATGTAGTTTTATATTTTATATTATCTCTTATATTTAAAATATAAAAATTTTGTACACTTAGGTGTTTGGTGACATGTGTAATAAATCATGTGATACAACAGCTTTTCAAATATTTGTTTAAATAAATAATATTTCATTGTAATTTCAAATTTGAAAATTGAAAACCTACAAATTGTTATCTATCGTTCAACTAGAAAAAAAACAGTTATAAAACTGGAAAACCAGTTAATATTTGTGGTAAATTTTTAAATTTAAATAAAAACTTTGAATTTTATGTTTCATAATAACATCATCTTTACATTTAATTTTATAAACAGTTTATAACAGTAATTTGTATAGTTTCAAGTCTTAAGATTTAGAATAAATTTAATTTGCATTTCGAGGTAAAGGGTAACTCAAAAATATTTTTATCACAATATTCGAAAATATATACTTGTAGTTTATTTTCATAATAATTATTACGACTCTAAAATTATTAACTAAAATTGTTAAAACATTTTAAAATGACGATTAAATATATCGAACGTTTTCTGCAAGCGATGAATGATCGCTATCATTATCTTTAAATTTAAAATAAGTAGTACGATATTGAGTAACGATTAATAATGATGAGTAAAACGAGCGTCCAGTATATGAATAATTTAAGTATAACACATTTTAATTTTAGAACCAGTACGTTTTAATAAAAATAGATTGATGCATTAGTTTTCAACTTTGCACTATTACTTAACTAATATTTTTTGTCAGAATGTTTTTAACTGTAAGTAATAAGTTCCATTAAATATGTACATTAATCTATTAATCTATATTTCATATTCGTGGGTTGAAAAAATATAAAAATTTCCAAAAAAAAAAAAAAATTATTATTATTTTAATTGTTTTCGGAAAAAAAATAAAAAGGAAAAAGTGAAAGGGAGTCGCGATCGGTCGAGCTGTCATGGAGGGTTGACCTTCAGTGGATGGTTTTGCTCAGTAATTGTTTCCAATTTATTTCTCTTACCATACTTGCTCGTCTTACACCGGTGTTAGTGAGTTGCGGCCACATTTTATTTATCACTTCATATCAGCCTATCAGTGTTACTTTTTTATTTTTTATTATTATTTATGTAAAAATGGCAAAATGTATGGTAATTTATGGTAAAATTAAATTTTTTTGGGTTATTGGTTGGGCAAAAACTTAAAACTTAATGATTTCACGAAATAAAACCGCTCTATTTCTTTTTGTGCTAGCTTTGTCATCTGTTGTCTTATAAATGCTTCTTTTTCATATATTTTCTTCGTTTTTATTCCATTGCTTCTACATTTGATATACGTACATATACATTGGGGAAGACTTCTGCTACAGCACTGTGGATACAGCACTGTGTTTAAAATCTATAATAACTTCAATAGGAGAACACGTTAAGCCAATGGACATAGATAGAATGGCGAATTAATCCCGGGCCGCAATTAAATTAATGATAAAATATGACAGGGCCGCATTTCACCGGTCTCCAACACGTTAATGACATGTCGGGCTGCAACTCACCTATAGCCCTTACACGTACCGCGTGGAATGCATAATAATAATAATAATAATAATAATAATAATAATAAGTGATGTTTCATTTGTGTCAACATGACGTCATGCAGCGATGAAAGACGAACGGTGCAACTGGCCGCGGGGCAAAGTGTTGGGTGGTTCGAGCGTGTTGAACTACATGATGTACGTGCGCGGGAACCGGATGGACTACGACAGCTGGCTGAAGCAGGGCAACCCGGGCTGGGGCTATGACGACGTACTGTATTATTTCAAAAAGTCGGAGGACAACCGGAACCCGTACCTGGCGCGGACCGCGTACCACTCGATGGGCGGCTACCTGACGGTGTCTGAGGCGCCGTACAAGACGCCGCTGGCGGACGCATTCGTAAGGGCCGGCCAGGAGATGGGCTACGAGATCCGCGACATCAACGGCGAGCGGCAGACGGGCTTCATGATACCGCAGGGCACGATCAGGCGGGGCGCACGTTGCAGTACGGCCAAGGCGTTCCTGCGGCCCGCGCGACTCCGGAAAAACTTGCACGTTTCAATCAACGCGCAAGTGACCCGCGTGGCCATCGACCCGGAGACCAAGGTTGCGTACGGCGTCGAGCTAGTCAAGGGCGATACGCGATACTTTGTGCGGGCCAACAAGGAGGTCGTGCTGTCCGCCGGCTCCATTGGCTCCGCGCAGCTGCTCATGCTCTCCGGCATCGGGCCTAAGAGCCACCTGACCGAGATGGGCATACCCGTGTTGGCCGATCTGGACGTCGGCAAGAATCTGCAGGACCACGTCGGACTAGGAGGACTCGCGTTCCTCATAAACAAACAGGTGATGCGCACCGCGCGTACATTGTATACTCTCTTGTACCAACGACGCGTGAGGTCCTTGCACGTAATATATCGTGACATACGCGAAAACGATCTGAAGACACTCCCTCCCGTGCACACAACCACTGGGTTGTGTATCGTGAGCGACTGCCGAACCGGTTGACGAGAGGAAATATTTCTAATCCTATTGTTTCTTTACACTTGAATTTGACTCGAGAACTACAAAAGGAAAAGAAAAATTACTTATTTTTTCATTTTTTATTTTATCGAATACGATATTTAATGTAGAAAGTTTTCACTACTATGTATTGAGCACGGTTACTTAACTTGCCAGGGATATGAAATCAGCAAGCTGTAGGTTGTCGTGAAAAGTTTTTCTTATGTTTTCGCGACAACCTTTAAGTCTTTCTTATGTTAGGTATTTTTATTGTTTTCAACATGGAGAATTTTCAATCTAATTCTATTTTTATTTTTTCGAATCTTGTACGGTTAGTGGTCGTTACGAAGCGAAGCGAAATAACTGTTATTGTCGTTGGTTTGTTTATAGGTGTCACTGATGCAAGAAAGAATCGAAAACGTTCAGACGGTTCTGAACTATGCGACGATGGGCGACGGACCGTTGACGGTCATGGGTGGGGTCGAAGGATTAGCGTTTATCAACACCAAGTACGCCAATCACTCGGTAGACCAACCTGACATCGAGTTACACTTCGTGTCAGGCTCCACTAATTCCGATGGAGGTGTACAACTGTGGAAAGCGCACGGGCTTAAAGAAGATTTCTACAAATCGGTGTACGAACCAATTAACAATAAAGACGTCTGGTCTGCTATACCCGTAAGTACATACTATTACTATACTGCGAGTTGGATTATTACGAACGCATTCGGCTAATAAATGTCATATTATGTTTCGATGACAATTTCAACGATTTTTAGTAATTCGAGAGCAAATATCCAGCGTTATTGCGTTAGTAAATCGATTTTAACTTCGAAGTTACAATCACAAATATTTTTCTGCTATAGAGATCATAGGGGTTTTATTCCAAAGAAATTTCTTCATAAATGTCATAAACTTATAGATTTCAATTACAATATTTGTGTTATTTTTGTATTCATAGAATTAGTATTGTAAGAAAAGACAACTTTTTTCCAATTTGATATTTGATATACATGAAAGGGGGAAAAAATTGAAATCTATATACATTAAGTAAATATTCAATCACGATCTATAAATAAGAGTAATAATTAGGTTTTAGAATGCTGTTGTTAAAATTAATTATTGATATCAGTTAACGTAGTTCGTCTGTTTTCAAGATCTAGTAAATTCCCTTTCGTCGTCTTGTATGGAATGATAAAATGTATAATTTGTATTACTGGTGCAAGATCAATTAAATGTTCGAAATGCTCGCGTTAACTATTGACATATTTTTTCCTGTCGAAATAATAATGTAAATATGTGTATTATGCGTTTGAATATTACGTGCGTAAACGTCTGATATGTTGTTACACTCTTTGTAGATGTTGCTGAGACCCAAAAGTCGCGGTGAAATACTGTTGCGAAGCTCCGATCCGTTTACGTATCCCAGAATCATCCCGAACTATCTCACGGAACAGCAGGACATCGACACATTGGTGGAGGGCGTCAAGTTCGTAGTGGCTATGTCCCGAACAGCGCCTTTCCGCCGATACGGCAGCCGATTGCATAACATTCCGTTCCCGGGGTGCGTGACCGTGCCGAAGCACACGGACGCTTACTGGGAATGTATGGTCCGGCATTACACAGTGACCATTTACCATCCGGTGGGCACGGCTAAGATGGGCCCCAAGTGGGACAAGACTGCTGTAGTCGACCCGCAACTGAGAGTGTACGGTATCAGGGGACTTCGGGTGGTAGACGCGTCAATCATGCCCACGTTGGTCAGCGCCAACACAAACGCTCCGGTTATAATGATTGCCGAGAAGGCGGCTGACATGATCAAAGAAAAATGGCTCAAAAAGAGATGATTACAATGATGATATTTATATTTATATTGTTATTGCAATAATATCAGCTGATCACGAAACGTATCGTTGAACTAACATGTAGCGATGGCCCGGCGATCTTTGAATTTCGCAGGAGTGAAATGTCATTTTCATCACCTCATTGTTATTTGTTTTATCAATGCGTATAATAATTTTTTATTATAATAAACCTATACGGATGTTCGTAGGCAGGACGTCTTCTTACTAGTAGAGAGTTCGCCTTAAGCACCGACGGCCGACATTAGCACTCTTTTTTTAGAATCCATCACATTTCTTATCATTCGTATTCGTATTCTATCAAAAGCAATAGTTTTAAAATAAGAGATTCTTAAAAATAAATGTTAACATGATTCGTCCACAAAATACTAGTGAATAAATCTTCTGTTAGGTTACACCATGGAGCATAAATGGACTGGCCAGGGAGGTAAAGGAGCGATCGCCTCCTGAGCCCTCAATAGTGTCATATTAATTACCCGTATATAAAATGTAATGGTAAAACACCAAACATTTACTATTAGAATATCCGAATTTGGATGAATTGAGCACAATTAACTAAAAATATTTATTAATTAAAATTTAAAGTAGGTCCAGTTTAGTATCCACCCTTCCGGACCTCTCGATCCCAGTCCACCCCTGCCACGGAGTATACAGAGGAAATTCTGTCGACGAATGGTTTTTTTTTATTATCGTCTGTTACACGGAGTAAGTACTCACTCTATCGGAGTATTCGTTTAAACGTGTAAAGTGTAAACGTGTAAGGTCATACGACCGTGAAATCTCGTTTTTTTTTTTTAAATATTCGTCATAGACAGGTTTTCGTTGTTGAAAAATGTCGATGCAAAGAATTTTCGATGTTTAAAATAAGCTACCGTCTATCATGTACGCTGGCTATAAAAATCTGAAGATGGCCTACAACTCCTGCAAAACTTTGTTCGCTACGTCATTGTGATTTATCAATAATTGTTTATAATATTATGCAGTATTATCGTGACAATTACCTTTACTAAATTTAAATTGATTGTGTTAGACTATATTAAATATTGTGTTATTTATTTGTATATAAAAAAACCATTGTTTTATGAAAGTTATAATTTATTGAATTTGTAATATATTTGTTTCAACTTCCTACTTAATCAATTCGAATCAAGTCCTCATTATATTGTATACTATAATATAATAAATAATTTAACGTCTCATCATGTGTATAAAAAAATATTAGTTATGTCGATGCTGACGGTGAATTTGGAAGTAGTTTAACGAGTATTGATATTTATTTGAACGTTCAGTTATTAAAATATAATAATGGTATAACGTTTATTTCATCATTGACTAAGGGAAAATGAATGTACGCACATTGCACTTCAAACGAATTAGAAATTACTAATTAATAATCTATGAAGTATAACAAGTTCTATATTACTATTATTAAATAAGAGTTATTATTGATGCATAAAAATAATACATATTACATATTATTTGTTACAGTTTCTTACGAAAACAATAACTATGAATGCGGTTAAGATTTAAGTGCTCCGTGTACACACTTGTGTTCATTGAATTGCCTATACGCTAATACTATAAAGTTCATATATATTTATTTTTATTTTTTCAAAACCATTTTGTATAATTATTTACAGTCTGTAATAGGATGTACAATAAGTAATATTATTAGCTATATTATGTAAAATTACGGTGACTGACTTGAAGGCGCTTCACATTAGAAACACCTTAACATATGTGCTTAATTTAATAGAGGGATATATGTTCAGACTATAAAATTATTTTTTTTGTTATCTTTTAATATACTTTATTAAAAATGTATAAAATAAGTACGGCTTATTGAAATATTTTTACCTACCAAAAGCAATATTCAAGTTAATTCCCACAGTTATTCTATAGAAATATTGATACAAATTATTGTGATTGCAATGATTAATATTATAAATGTTTGATGTTAAAAAGATGTAAGTACCAATTTATAAATATAATTTTGAATTTTCTTATAGAAAAAAAATATAGTATTTTTTTCCTAAAGTAACAATAAGACAAATTTATAAACTCTTACGACAGATGAAAAAATTAACATTAAAAATATAAATAAATGAAAATCATACATTCTTAGCTTGTGCAGAAGAAGTCAACGTTAAAGAAAATTTTAAGTGTAAATGTCTTATAAGTTATATATTAAAATATTTAATTCAAAAATTAACATAGTGTTTAAAAATAAACTTTTAATCCAAAATGGGTGTTTTTAAAAACCGCAAAGTTATACTGTTAAGTTATAAGCACCGGTTAAAAACTGTTTCAATTATAAAAATTACCAATAATATTAATGGTTAATAATTTTAATATTTTTATATTCGTTAAAAAAATCGACATTAATTAGAATATTAGTTCGAAGTAAATTTTTTTTTCTATAATGACCTATTTTTCGTAGTGAATACGTAGTCAAAAATATTTGCATCGGCTTATAATGACCTGGTTATTTTAGTTTCGGAATATGTTTAACAGCTTAGTGTATGTATACCTAAATACGAATCTAGGACATATATATGTTATGCAAAATATTTATATTTATTCTAATCATTAATTTATGTTTATAGTATTTAGTTGAGTTTTTTTTCCATTGAAATGTTACGGATTTCTGCTAATTAAATTCAAATCACTTTGAAAGTTGAAAGAGAAAAAATGAAACAAATTCTATCCCATTTTATATAGAATATATTTTTTTTTATTTTTGGTATTTAAGTCGACATTCATGAACATGTTTAATTTAGTTTTAAGTGTTTAAATAATGTTACAATGCGAAATTTGGTATAGTAATAAATCATGCCATTTGTATTGTAGTGTAATGTGCTGTGAACATGAAACGCAATCCAAACGCAGACAATGAATGGTTACTAAAAATGTAAACTAGACAAAATATTATGCAATAATTGTAGTACAATAATAAACATTTTTTTTCGTGCTTGTAGAATTAACGTATTTATTTAATTCGAAGTTTAAAAGACATTTTTTGAATAGATCAATTAATCTTATTTGTTATTTTCCAGCTATCAGAATAATTTTAAATACACTTACAAAGTATATTTGGTATAATTGTGTTTGTTAAAAATTAACATGCAAGGAATTTAGTTCGTAACTTTTGCTTTCTATAGCAGATTAAATCTTTTTGAATTAATACGATCTTGTATATTTATTTGAAGAGAGAGTTTATTCGATTTGATTTCACGAAAACGAATAAATTACCAATAATATGGTTATTTAATAGCTTCTCATCGAGTATTACTGCGAGACCAAGACCAATACAACAATGGTTCTGCAAGACCAAGATCAGGATTGAGTCTATAAGACCAAGACCAAAACAAAACCCACATTGCAAGTTTTTTGCAGTCTTGTAATTTTTATTGTAATTTATTTTAAGAAAATTATTATTTGTAAAAATTATTTTTTTCATAAAAAATTTGGCATAATTTTTCTTGGTTTCATACAATATTTCTTCAAAATAATTTTGGTGTTTAGCTGATTTAATAAATCTTTTTCAATATTCAACAAAAATAAATTGGTAAGCCTTTGCTAAAGCTAAGATCTTAGCCAGTTTTTTATCCATTGCATTGTCAAAAAACTTCGCTCGCAAGTAGCAGAACTTATCGGAATTGTTATTGCAATTTACAAAAGTTTGTATAAGTTTGGGAAGGAATCTTTTTTCATGTTATCTTTCATAACTTCTGGTGTAAAGTTTGGTGGTATTCAATTATTAACCACTAGCATTTCAGCTTTTAATACATCGATCTTTACACATAAAATACCCTAATTATAAATTATTATTTAGTAATGATTGAAATTTACTTTTGAATTTAATATAAATTATAACTATTGATAAACTCTAGACTTCTATCATTGTTTAAACTTATAAATTTATTGATTGAACAAGTCATTGGTAATTTTTTCTTAGAAAATATGTACTTAAGATTTACAAGCATAGTATCAATGTTTGGAAATATACAGTATATTACAGTATCCGTAATGTATACCTTTTAGTTAATCGTCCGACAATTATAGAAATATCCGAATATCCGAATATGGAATAAATTATAATGAATTATATTATATAACATACGATCAAATAGTTATATATTTTTTCTGGAAATTTTCCATAATTAAAAAATATAAAATTCATGGTATTTCACTAAAATAATAATAGTTGGACATGAAAAAACAAGGGGACGCTAAATTTTAACTTGGGGCTGCTAAAGAACTTTTTGCACCCCCCCTAGTTGCACCACTGTATACAATGCAAGCACGTGTGCTCTATATGTACTAAAACAATGCACACTACAAATAAAAAAACGTGTGCGTTTTATTAATATATCGCGTAATTCACCGCACACATCTGATATGGTTGTATCTACATATATTATGATTGTAGTTCAGACTATTTATTTTATTTCATTATTATTGTTATTATTATTATATAGAATCATGGCACCTTTATCTGTAGTGTTTGTTTAACTCACAACGGTTGTATACGAAACACGACATTATGTAATTCTCACCCAATTGTATTAATACGAGTATGTATATATATATGTATTACATTGTCGTTATAAATGTATAAGTATAAACACACGTGTATAAAATTGTACTGGTTATACGCTTATTACATTTGTTCCGTTCCATTGAACTTGTGTATTGTGCTATATTATTATTGTATGAATGTATAACACGATTACTTTTTTTTTTTTTTTTTTTTATATTTATTTAAAGCCTCAACAAATAAGGTTACTGGCTTTCAATATTTACAACATTTAGATACTATACATTTTTTTTTAAAAAATATTACATTATTACTAATTTTAATATGTACAAAAAGAGAGAAGAGAGAAAGATAAAAAAAAAAATGACAGTAGAATTATAATACGATCTTTATACATCGTTAAACTCCATCCGAACTTCGTTTTTTCTGATTTACGTACAAACATAACATAACGTGCGTAATCGCATTGGTATTTAATGGAGTTTAAAAAAAAAAAAAAATCGGCTAGATTTTTATAAGTCTGGTCGCACGTGTCACAGGTCTACACGATTTGTTCGTTCTATCAACGCGTGACATACCCCCCCCCCTCACGTAAGTATAATCCCCATAGAGAAAATATACAATTTATTTATTTTACTCCCGTAGTTTATGCGCGTGATCAGAGAAATCGATTTTTTGTATTTGTCGTCATGCTCAAGTAGATGCTGTGATCGTCTAAACGCTTAAAACAATAATGTCGTCTCATAGTGTAATTTGTATTGTACTCCGTGTGATAGTATGACACTATACTATATCATGTCCATGGTACGGTACAAATACTAAACAAATAATATTGAATTCGTAATTTCTCGCATGTGTCAGTATTGTTCAATGTTACCTTTAAAAATTTAACTCAATAATAATCAACGAATCGAATGTCTTTTACAACACGGTATTAGCCGTGGCACGTGGACACTATTATTCTACGTCATACCGGTGTATTGGTTTAAGATAATCAATAAAAGATTTCTTGATCGAAAAACAGATATAGGCAATACAGTGAAAATGAAAACGATGAAGAATTTGTGAACAGGTCTGAGCGCGCCTCCATGGCCCCGGGTCGTTAGGCGCTCGATAAGTTGATGGTATTTTTAGCGAAATCGAAGTTCGAGGGATTCCGGCACGCGAAAAAACCGCGCGTGAAATGTTACAACAACTTCGTGTACGGAGGGATCACGGGGTACGACGAGGAACGATAAGAAAAGAAGTTTTTAAATAATAATAATAATGATAATAATATTAAATAAACAGAGCCGACGAAAACGAAACGTACAAACGTTTTACGATAATGTATTTGATACACCGGACGTTATGTACGCACGTTCATTGTTCTTGAAAATGTGACATCGTGCGGTGAAGACCTGCGCGTCCCGAATAGAGGGAGAAATCGGTGGCTGGTCGACGCGGTTAAATTATGCAATATTGTTTTTTTTTTTTGTTTTTTTTTTTTTTTACAAACAATGTGTCGCCGGCGAAACGAACGAGTCCGCGCATCGCGGTGTCCGAACAATAACGAATTTCGCGTGCTGAACCCGTGGACGTAGGGCACGTTGTATGTTCGCATCGTGCCGGCGGATAACGCTGTGAGCAATCGGTACACGTTTTCCGCGCGGCAGTGTTTACACGTTTTCGATGAGAGAATAAAAAGAAACAAATAGAAAAAAACGAAAATAAGAAGAAAGGGAAAAATTGAAAATTTTGAAAAAACCAACGAAAACCCACGTGCCCGCGAGTGCTACGATCGAGACGTCACGCGCGCGCTAACTTGCCGCGGCCAGTGGCTGTTCCGTCGCGACAATAAACGCTGATGGCGCCAAACGCGTTCGCCGCCCGGCTGGCCACGCGCATCGCCATCTCGTACGGGCCCAGCGTCAGCTACATAATGCTCATCCGGGTGGCCGTACTGTTCTTCCGGCCCGACATCGAGGACGCGGACCACCGGCTGATGGACCTCCAGGTCGCCGAGATCAAGGACAAGTACGATTTCGTGGTGATCGGCGGTGGTTCGGCGGGTTCGGTCGTGGCCAACCGTTTGTCCGAAAACCCCAACTGGACGGTAATATTGTTATAATCTAATAAGCCGGACCAAACGCATTGGTCTTTTTTCAAATGTTTTTTTTAATTTATCCGAAAAATTCTAAAAGTCATCAGGTTTAATTGGTCACAATTGTTATTAATATAAAATCAAGATACATTGTTATCAAAGTCAAATTATTTGACGCAACGTTCCTCGCATTCGTTTATTTGCTTTTCAAGAAACTTGTGGTGTACTCAATCGTCGATCGAAAAGCACGAAACAAAATACACTAGTGTTTTACTCTCCCTTTATTTTCCTCTTTATGTACGTGTTTCCAAAACACACAACTATTTAGATTTAGGATCGTATATTTTTGTGACGTCGCTGGTATAAAAATCATTTTATGTCCTTTTAAGTTCTCCTTGTTGAATATAACCAAGCTAATTTTACACCACTGCTTTATACGGGTAGAATAATTTAAAATAAATCAACCGCATTGGTTTTAATTGAACCTATTATTTTGTTTTCAATATTTCAATATTGGTTGTTAAAGATATAACAGTAAGTACACAAGAAAAATCAAGTTGAAAAATTTGTAGTTATAACGTATTCTGCTTACAAAACTACGCGGTTTCGGCTTAAAAAATTAAGAATTAGAAAATTCTTAAAAAAAAATTAAACAAGTATTTTCTAAAAGACAATAATGATAATAATGAATAATAACGAACGTTATTAAGGAGATAAAAATGATTTTAAATCCTCTTATTTAATCCTATTGATTTATTTGATTTTTACAGAAAATTATTATACTTTTATAATCTTTATAATCTTAAAATATTATTATATTTTTATCTTGTTTATGTTAATACCTGTTCACGAATCAAATGTATTGAAGTCAATTGTTTTCATTTACCATATAACCGTTTACCAATGAAATATTATTATTTATACTTATGCAATACTACATAGGGTTGGACGAGTAAATTATTACGTCCTAAAACCATATTATTTTTATTATTATATTTTAAATTATGACTGTAAGACTAACTGCGAGTTGTCACCAGCGAAAGTCGATCATTCGAATACACTGAATTTTGAATAACATGTTGATTCTTATTATTTTAGCATTAATTGACAACAAAATAATTAGTTTTGAATGGCTCGAAAACAGTCGAAGGAATTTTGTGTTCATATAAAAATGAATATAATTTTCTATTAAATCAATCGTTATTTAAAACAATTGAATTAAGTTCTTTCGCGAATGTTATTTATATGTATTTTAATTTATCACACTCTATCGTGTTTATAATTATTAATAAGGTGCACATGAAACTATATATATGTTATCTTAATGATAAAAATGAATCATTACTTACTAGGTATACAATGCTTGTTTTCGCATCATTACGGTAATTTAAGAAGTCCGGTTTAATATTTTGTCCACTGATAAGTAATTGTTAAGTATGTGTCAACGATAATATTTTTTTTTAGTGAAATGTGATTAAATATATATTTGTTAAATAAAAATATTAAGAAAATATTAAATAATTTAAGTTTGAGGGTTAGGTTATTAGTTAAACGATTTAGAATTAATAGTAAAAGCCTAGCAAAAGTTCTATGCAACATCTCAAAAGATAGTTATTTTGACACAGAAAATCCTTCCAAGAGTCAACCGCTTTTATACAGCCTGTATATGTATTTTTCAATGTCTTCTTTCTAAATTAAAAATATTTGTCAGGGAATTTGGCTGCTTTTTTAATTTCATAAATAGCATATGACTTTTCGATAAAATATAATTTAAAAATATGTATAATATAATTAAAAAATGTCCCGGTTTATTGTAATAGAACGAGTTATGTAATCGTAATACAAGAAATAAAATACTTAGAAAGAAAATTAATTAATCATTATTTTTTGTTATAGGTTCTATTAATAGAGGCTGGCATCGACGAGCCAACATTGTCAGATATACCAATGTTGTATCCTTCCCTCCAGCGAACTTCTGTTGATTGGCAATATAAAACAGAGCCCAGTCATTCATCGTGTCTGGGATTTAATGGCAACCGATCTAGTTGGCCTCGCGGCAAAGTCATTGGCGGCAGCAGCGTTCTGAATGCCATGTTCTACGTCAGAGGTAACAAAAAGGATTATGATGCTTGGTACGACGCAGGCAATAAGGGATGGAGCTACAAAGACGTACTACCGTATTTTATCAAGTCCCAAGACATAAGAATACCGGAACTCATGGACTCGAAGTATCACGGAAAAGGGGGCTACTTGACGGTGGAACATTTCAGATCGCAATCACCAATTGTGTACAATTTTTTGGAAGCCGCAAAGGAGATTGGCTATGACGAGGTTGACATAAACGGTGAAAGTCAGACGGGATTCACACGGTCCCAAGGTATGTGGTTTTAAGTAATAATTTTGCTGAGATAGGATCAAATTACTTTGATAAAATTTTCATATTGTTATTATTTATCTTGATTATTCATGTTACGTTCAATTTTTGCAGGGACTCTGAGGAACGGTTTGAGGTGTAGCACGGCTAAAGCATTTCTGAGACCGATCATAGACCGTCCAAATCTTCACATCAGCTTACATACGCATGCTTTAAAAATCGAATTTGAAAATGGTCGGGCTACTGGCGTGCTGATATCGAAACTGGGCAGAATACCCACACTGGTGAAAGCCGAGAAAGAAGTGGTACTGTCGGCAGGTGCCATTAATTCCCCACATTTATTAATGTTGTCGGGGATAGGACCTGCCGATAAAATACGCAAAGCCGGAGTTAAAATCACTAAACACGTGCCCGGTGTGGGGCAGAATCTACAAGACCACATCGCGATGGGTGGCGTTACGTATTTGTTCGATTCTCCAGACAAATTCAGTCCACTCGGGATGGGCGTAGTTCTACCGAGAGTATTGACGTTGAACTCGTTTATTCAATTTTTTCGCGATAAAATGGGACCACTCTATAGAATACCCCTAGGTGAAGCCATGGGGTTTGTGAACACAATGTAAGTTTAATTTTGAATTTAATTAACGAAAAACAGTTTTAAATTAAATTTTGTCGACACAGTTCTGCGTGTGGCTGTTGAAAAAAAAAGCTATCTAATCACGTTATATTTATGATACAGTTACAACGAAGATACCGAATGGCCCGACATCCAACTATTTATGGCCACTGCTGGGGACAATGATGACGGCGGCTTGTTAAACAAAAGAGACGTCGGAGTAACCGATGAGTATTACGAACAGGTATTCGAACCCATTCTCTACCAGGACGCTTTCACGCTGGCGCCTTTGCTCCTGCGGCCTTACAGCCGGGGTTACATCGAAATAACTAGTTCCAATCCATATACCGCTCCGAAAATTGTGCCGAATTATTTGAGCGATCCGAGAGATGTGAAAATCCTGGTAGAGGGTGCCAAGATAGGATATGCATTGAGTCGGACCGCGGCCTTGCGCAACATCAACACCACCCTACACAATATACCAACCCCGGGATGTGAACTGCACTCGTTCATGTCCGACGCGTACTGGGAATGCCAAGCCCGTCACTATACCATGACCATTTATCACCCGGTGGGCACATGCAAAATGGGTCCGGCCGAGGACCAGTATGCCGTGGTGGATGAGAATTTGAGGGTGAGGGGCGTAAGCGGACTGCGAGTGGTCGACGCATCAATAATGCCGACGATAGTGAACGGCAACACGAATGCGCCGACGATAATGATCGCGGAAAAGGCTTCAGACATGATAAAACGCGATTGGGTCGGGCACACGAGAACTTTCAAATCCAGGTTCGCCAAGAAGACGGTCAAACGATGGTGGTGAACCGCTATTGTGTAATGTAATCAACAGTTGACGTTGATACGAGTGGTAAATTTTTAAAAAATGAAAGCCTATAAGTCGTGTTCCAAAATATGTTCTAAGAACTCTGACTATATACATAACAGTCAATATGATATCGTCGCAAAAATATGACTTGGATTTAATACGATTTATTAGTAATTATAATATATTATTTATTATTATCTGAATACCATATACTGTAAGATAACATAATGTATAACGATTAAAAAATATATGAAGAAGGGTGATTTGGAGTAAAAAAAAAAATGTATTTATTAGACTGAACATTATATACATAATATTTTCAAAATCCAATCGTCTAATAATGTTAAATAACCGGGTTTATGTACTAATTGTTTTCCTATCAATCATTTATATATGTACACTATCTTAACCTTTAAAGCTTAAATACTATACAACCGTGAGAATGAAAACTTTATATTTATACTTATATAAACTTTATATAGAAATATTTATATATAAAGCTACAGGGGGGGAATTTCAATGAAAATACTGGGGGTGCTAAAGCCCTTTTATCTTTTTTATGTTTCTTAATGGTTATAAACACCCGCAACCTATACAGTTTAACAGTTACTAAAATATTTGGTAAATATATGAATATTTCTAAATTTAAATTGTTCACTTTCATTTTATATTTTTATTGCGCATATAACGAATTACCTGTCTGTAAACTCAAATGTTTCCTCATATGATCACTTTTAGATTTTGATTGAAGCGAAAGATATAATGGTTTTATAATGATGTTTGTATCTTATTTTTTTTAATACTTTTTCGGATAGAAATATAGGTCCAAAAGTTTTTTCTAAGACCTTTTTTAAATTTTAAATCAGCATGTGGTAGTACATTAAATAGGTAATTTTTTAAATCTTAAGAGTTTTCCCAGACGTGAAAAAAAAAACTATATACATAAAAAATGTATATATTTATACAATAAAAACTCTGTTTTTATATACATAATGAGTAATGAGTATTTGAATGTAAATCAACATAAACACATTTAGGGGTGCTAATTTTGAAAATGGGGTTGATAAGCACACCCAAGCCACCCACAAATTACGCCTATGTAAAGCCATATAAAGAAATATAAAGAAATATTGTTGGATGGTGTTAAATATTTATGATTAAATTTCAATAAAAAACGGGGCTGAACACATTTATATGATCAAATTATCCTTAAACGAATATTTTCCGTAGTACTAGTAGTACTATTGAGAATACCTCAAATCTGTTAGAAGGACAATAATTCATAAAATATAAGCGGTTTAATAAAAAATCCATCGAATTATCACTAACACTTCTCTGTATGTCTCCAATAACACTCTTCATATACTGACTTACATATATATTTTATTAGAGAAGTTGCAAAACAACACTATAGAAAATTGTACAATCGATCATATATCCACTTAAGCCCTCTAACCCTTGAGTTATTCTCAAACTCCCTTAGAGTAATTCTACGAGAAGACTTAAGCAAAAGATGTCCATAAACTTTTCAGTTGTTGAATAAGCTGGTCAATACAGAATATGAATACGAGTACAGTTAAAATATAAATGTATAGATAATATACATTTATATATAAACCACTTCTTCCGAAGTATTGTCGCTAGATGGTTTCTTAATTTCAAATATTTATCCAAAATAATATTAGTATTATTCATATGAGTAGAAATTATTTCTAAATGCGTTTTAACTAATAATATAGATTGTATTCCAATAATCACAAGTGCTTATACCACTATTAAATTAAAAAAAAAAAAAATATTAAATATATGAAAACGTATCACTATGTACACGTGCCATGGACAAAACGATGCGGAGAATGTATGTTACAGATGATTGGTACGGATTAATTAATCAACGGGCGGATAAACGTGTCATTCGTGTCATCAACTTTTCTCGCGGAGGATTCGTATGCCGCACACCGCAGATGTTAACTAATTTTTTAAAAGCCTATTTATTTTTTCAATTTACTTCTCCTCATTTGAAACTGGTTTCCGGGAACTTGTTAGTCGTCCGACCAGGATATCCGAAAGTACGCGACGAAAAAAAAACTATTTTTTTAATTCGTTTTTACTTTCTTATGCACGCGTATAAATATATATATGTTCTATATGCCCACTCCGCGGATTATTATACGATTATAATATACCGTATACACTACTGGGCTTGAAACAATAGAGAAAGTTGATTGGCCACGGGACATCCAAGCGCCAAGTCTATATACATTTTCAATTGATATTTGTTATTTCAAGACCAGATTTCGAGTTCAGTGTAGAATAATCTCCGAGGCCTTCGGTTGCGTGTGAAATGACTACGGGACCGTATATCGTTGTGTTATTCGACTTGTTTCACTGCGTTCGACGACGCGTGTGCTAGATATCAAAGCGAAAACGGTGGCGGTGCCGAGCGCGGAATCCTTTTCTGTCTCCCAAATCGATCGAACAACATCGGACCGAGGCCGTACGACGTAATACGCTTGAGGGTACGAAACGGTATTGTTACGAGTCCGCTGCTCGTCAACGATCGACCACCGGCCGTACGCGAACACGATGCCACCCGAAAGCTGCGAGTGCAAGTGGTTCGACTCGTCGTTCCTGTCCGGGTCGTGCGGCAGCACCGGCAGCCTGGCGTTCTTCATGTCGCTGGTCGACCTGGTGATCCGGTCGCAGTGCTCGGTCGCGGACCCGTGCCGCCGGCGCACCACCGCCACCCGGTTCCCGGCCGGTTTGGAGTACCCGGAAGAGCTGGACTTCGTGGTGGTGGGCGGCGGCGTGGCCGGTTCCGTGGTCGCGGCCCGGCTGAGCGAGGTGCCCGGTTGGACGGTGGGCCTGCTGGAGGCCGGTCCCGAGGAACCGACCGCCACGTCGGTGCCGGCGTTCGCATCTGCGGCGATGGGTACCGAGCTGGACTGGCGGTACCTGACCGAGCCGCAGGAGAACGCATGCCTGGCCACCGGCGGCATATGCGCGTGGCCGCGCGGCAAGATGTTGGGCGGCACGGGGGCCATGACCGGTATGATGTACTCCAGGGGCCACCGACGCTTGTACGACGGTTGGCGCGACGCCGGCATCACCGGCTGGGGATACGACGACGTGCTGCCCTACTTCAAGAAGTCCGAGGCGAACCGCAACCCCGGTCTGGTCGAGCCCGATTACCACGGTTTCGACGGTCCGATATCGGTGCAACAGTTCGCGCACCGTCCGCCAATGGCCGATTCCATAGTGCGGGCCGGAGTGGAACTCGGCTACAGGACCGGCGATCTAAACGGCCACAATCAAACAGGTACCTATGTGCATTACAACTATACGACTAATAAACGCAATAAACTCTCATACGGATATAATTTTGATATTGATATTTTTCTACATACCTATTATATTTGATTTACACCTTAGTAAGATTGTGCAAATATTTTCATACAACGGTTTGATAGTTTCTAGTGGAAAAAAAAAAATACCAGAAGACGTTTTGTCGCAAAAATTGTTTTTTAGAACGCATGTTTAAAACGACGTGACACGGGTTATAAGCAGTGGCGTGAATAAATTCTTTTCTGGGGGGGGAAGGGAGTATTTAATAGTCCATTCATAATATTCTTAGTAATCTTAATACAAGATCCTATATAATAATATGACATTTAAAATGGTATTATTATTATATGTCCCGTGTTTAATGAAAATTATTTTGTTACTCAATTTTTAATATATACCTAACCATAGTAAAATGAAAATAACCCTATAATTTTACTATAATATGTAAATATTAATAAATATAATTAAATATTATTAAAAAAAAAATCTGGGGGATGGGTGGATACCTCTTACACCCCTTCCCCCTGTAACTATACCACTAGTTACGAGTAACAACTAAAACACGAAAAGCTACCGCGTACGTTTTTATCATAATCTCGGACATTTTGTGTACGGAAACGTGTTTCATGTTTCTCGTTAAATACTTTTTAAACGGTTGTTTTCGCTAGTTACAAATAGATCATAGAAACTTTCAAACACGCGTCTGACGTTAAATCTATAAACATTTACTATTGGATTTATCATAATCCATTGATATACTTTCGCCGCAGCGTCTCAATGCTTTGAAATATGTACACATGCTACTCGATTAAAATAACGAGCCACGAATAACGCTTGTTACTCACATTATATCTTATACAAATGTATACGTATATAGTTTTAGGTTTTATTATTTTCGTACGTGGTCACCGTAACACGTGCATACGCATACGAGATGAGTGTCTGCAATTACTGCGTGAAACCTGATTTCCCTAATCAAAAATGCGTTGTTGTGATAATTATAAATATAAATAAAGTTGGAATGTGGTGGTCCACGTGCATCGCGAAGAATTATCCGTTCTCGTCCTTGACGAAATAGGCCTGGTAATTGTAGGCCTCGAAAGTCGTTGCCCCGGAGGAATGTATTGCCTATAGAACAAATGCGAAATATATCATGTAAATAATTTGATTTTTTTCCGGACAAAGTATATATACATAATCATCCAATGGTATAAAATCATCTTTTGCATCGGCATGTCCATCAAATGTATACCATTTGGCTTTTTAAACTTAATCTGTAATTCGAAACATAAAAAAAACTATAACAGCGAACGAACGAGAAGCGTGTTTTGTGGTATTTTTAATTTACAAAATATTGAATTTCAATATAACCATCCATGAAAATATTCAACGGCTATAACACATGGGGAAACTGGTTTTACATATTATATACGTATCAATCATTGACCGTTGTCACTTTATTTGTGCCAATATTAAATCCGAGAATTTTAATTCAAATAAAAATATTATAAGATAACGGTATTTTCTCTAATGAAATATCTTGCCAAGAATTCGTATATTTCTAATGAAAATCGTTAATAACGCAATACCAACATTCCAAGTTTTTTTTACTAGAAAAGATATGTAACGTATGTAATAGAACTTTTTTTTTAAAAATTTTTTATATTTATATTACGTCAAGTATAATAGTTGGTGTTTTAAATTATTTGAAAATACATTTAATTCACTTACTCATATTGATTTTCACATTATTTATATTAATTATTTGTTTATATGGCTATTAATATAAATATGAAATCAAAAATTTCTTAATTTAATAGAATCTTGATAATCCGACAGATACTAGACCAAAGGTCTGTCGGATTAATAAAAATTTCAGATTAATGAAGTTTCACATAATAACGCATTTTTACTTAGTGAAAAACTTAAGTTTATTTTATTAAATCACATAAATAATACATACATACATACTTTGAATTAATCTTTGGATGTTACAGGTTTAAAAAGTTATAAATTTGTTTTTGGTTTTTTTTTTTTTTTTTTTCAAATTATGCTTTTAAGACTACATTTTAAGATAAAATATTGCCAGATTAACGATAGTTTACTGTATTACAGTTTGAATTACGTATCAACTAGTTATTAATGATTTATATTTTTGAAATATCGAATGCCTCAAAACTCTCCAATATACGTAAACATACAATTACATACATGTACACTTACGTAAATTGTTCTTATATTTATCTGTAATACTACACAGGATGCAGTTGTGTAGCCAAGGGGGGGGGCTAAGGGGGCTATAGCCCCCCATGGGCCGTGTTTATATGTATAATGTGTCTTGACTATTTAATTGAATCAATGGATGCTCGTTTTAATCAAAGGCTTATTGATGTTATGGCACTTGAAGGACTTATTCCGACCAATTTAAATATGTATGACGATAAAAATATTATAAAAGCTGTTAAAATATATGTCCAAGATCTCCATGATGATACCTCGTCTACAATCAGAGTTGACCTGTTCATATGGAGGCAACAATGGAGTCAAAATACGATTCCAAAACCAAATTCTGCTCTTGATTCACTCTCTCATCGCACCAATCTTCGACTTAACATTAAAATACTTTTACAATTATTCGCCACGTTACCAGTAACCTCTTTCACTCCGGAAAGAACGTTTTCAGCACTTAATCACTTCAAAATTTTTTTAAGAAGCACCATGTCGGAAAACAGACCGAATGGGTTCACTATGGCTAATATAAATAAAAAAGAGCAATTCGATGAAAGTGAAATAATAACTGAATTTGCCAGAAATTCGCCTAAGAGGATGCAGCTGTCAGAGTGGAGCAAGTGACTGAGTATTGAAACTAAAATTATTATTATTATTACTATAAATTATATATTAATAAATATTTTTAAAACTATACTAAAATGCTTGAATTACGTTTAGAAACTTAGTGATAGATGATGGGGGGGGGGGTTAAAGGTGAATTCTCATATCCTCTCTTACTTTACTTATCCAAAAAAGTGGTTAGCCCCCTCCATTTAAAAATCCTGGCTATGCCACAGGATGGGTTGACAGTTTACCGTATCGCGGAGTTTCAAATAGGTGTTATACGGAGATTTTTGCTGATTTTTCGTGACGAATTCCTAATTTTACGATTCTTCTATTATCTATTATCTTCTACTATCGTATAGTTAAAAAATTAAAAATGCGAAATAATCTTTAATTTTTTTCTCAAAAGTTTTTCGCATGGCGATTGTATTGTATTTTTTTTTCTGTGAATTTCTTACACTTTGTTAAAAAGACATAACTAATTGATCGAGTACACAACAAATAGTACAGTCGGTTGACACAGTTTAACCACAGGTCGGCGTTACGCACGCCCCACGTATGTAGACGCGTCGATACTGCAATAACACCTGGAATACTTACCACAGAGTCAGACATACAAGTGTCCGTTACACGGAAGAGGAATCGTGATTGGTCCCGGGCAAGACGAACAAATAATAATATAATGGCAATGTAACATTACGGTTTACTCGCCACAGTATAATTAAACAAAATTTTCGTTATCGACCAGACACTGCATTTTTCGTCACAATAAATGGTCGTTTATAATATACCTACACGCTTGTACAGTACAATACCATTCGTGTACGTTACGATGAATACTTTTATGTGATTTAATTAAATCGCATTTGTGTACAAATGTATACCGAATTGAAACGCGGCAAGAAAATAATATTTTCACACTACGACTGTGAAAAAATAAATTGACAATGTAAGGTGCACATTATAATATGAATATCTGCTACGTTATCACATACGCGGTCTACATATACATTTTTTGTTGTATTTTCCACACGAGTATTTTTATATTGTATTATTTGAAGGGTTCTACAACATGTGTAATTATTATTATTATTATTATTATTATTTTATTATGTTGACAAGTAGTTTAAGCAATATACACTTTAAAAGATTTTTTTTACGATCGTTCGATTTATATTATATATGAATTATGTTATAAACGTACATTCCGTAACGTTTTGTATGCTAACCGGTAGGTATATGTACATGTTATTTTTGTTATTATGCGTTTAGTATTGATAAACCGTTTAGGGGAGATAGTTGTGGTAATACTTTAAAAGTAAAACGTTGTGATCTACCAATATTCGGTTTTATTTTGTACACTTAGAGCAATAATTTGACACTGAGCATTAAAGTCGGTCGAGTAAAAATTGTATGATAAGTTTTTGGGATCTGTTTTGAAAAATTACTCGAATCGCATTGACGATCCCCAAATATGCTCAAAGAGCGAGAAGTTCAAATGAGATCGGAGAGGAGGAGGGATTAAAGTGATGCATTATTAATGGTAATATTGCTCGGTCAACAATATTATAAATATGCGTTACTTGTTAGACCGAAATGGGCGACCGCAAGTATTACCGGGTACCGCGGTTATCGTAACGAAAATGTGTTATTATACGATGTTGCTGTACATGAACACGGGTGAAAAATGTTCAACGATTATGTTCGTGTTATCATTTTGATTTTTTAGAAAATTTGAAACATACGATTTGAATAATTTTGATTCCAGGATTTTCTGTGGCCCAGGTGATGGTGGACGATGGCCTGAGGATGAGCACTTCGCGGGCTTATCTAAGGCCCGCCCATGGTAGGCCCAATCTGTTCGTGAAGATCAACAGCCGGGCGACGGGGTTGGTATTGAATAAGTTGAACAACCGCGTGCAGGGCGTCAAGTATGTGGACCAATACGGCGAGCACATGGTACGGGCGCGGAAGGAAGTAATCTTGTCGGCTGGTGTGGTCGGCTCGGCGCACTTGCTCCTCGTGTCCGGTATCGGTCCCGCGGAGGAACTGCTCCGGGCTGGCGTCACCGTGTTCCAAGATCTGCCGGTCGGTCGCAACTTGCAGCATCACGTGTCCGTCGGCATCGCGGCCACTGTCAACGCGTCCGAGGAAGCCCACTACCTGACCATGGATGGGATTTCCGAGTTCCTAGCCACGCGCACGGGGCCCTTGGCTAGCACGGGCCTTACGCAGACCACAGGATTTCTGACCACTTCGTACGCCGTCGACGGGGTTCGTACCGTTATACGTATGTTACATAAATGTCTAACATAGAAAAGAATATGTCTTGCGTGTACACCGACAACATTCTTCTTTGTACGTGTGAAATCGTGCGGAGATTTTCTCGTCTCGATCGTTTTACATAACCACGTGTATGCACAAAGGTATGTTTGGACATAAGTATGATTATCTTTACACTACGACATCATCTAATCCGCTAAGCATTATCGTCATTATCCAATATTCGCTGATTCGTGCTCGTTCATTTTTGCCGTCCACAGCTGATCATATTTAAATTTAAAACTTTTAGGCACAGTTATAGTTTTCACCTTACGGTTTTTAACTTATTGACAATCAGTAACATATAATACATATAGGCATGGATAAAATATCAACGAATTACTCTTTATTCTTTAAAGAAATCCATATTTCATACGTTTCCACATTAAAAATACGTCGATATAGTTATCAATATATATATACACTATGTAGTTTATCATATACATTTTAAATATAAAAAAACATTTGATTTCTCTTCGAAAGTTAAAATTTAAATCCAATCGTATTGTATTAATCATTTAAAATATTTATAACAATAATTTTTAAATGATTATTGACGGTGATGTGTATTCATTTTATTTTCAATATCTGTTGCAGTAAATGATCTATACGATAATCAATGTCCAATTTTGTTGGTATTGGTTCACTTTTTATATTTATATTTTTCGAAAATCGACTTTAAAATTTTAAAATTACTCATGAAAAATGCAATCATGTACGTCCAGTAGGGATGGGCAAAATTCTATGAACATCAATATTCGATGTATCAATACATCGATTCTTAAAATATCGATGTGTTCGAAGTATGGGTGAAAAACCCTCGATGTTTAAGAACATCGAAGTTTAGAAACATCGAACATTTTTTTTCCTATAGAGCTGCCATCTGTTGCACACCTTAACACCTTATTAATTGTACAGTGTACTATTTTCTTGACTAAATAATACATTTAAGAGTTAAAATACTATTGTTTAACTTATATTTTTTAAAAAACATATTAAATACTTATAATCAGTCCTCGTAAGTTCATGCATTTACATGTTTTCCTTGCAACATCGGAAAATATGCTAATGGGGATAAAAATCCATTTCATAACAATGGTAATAAAAATCTAAAGTTTAATAGAGCATGTTTTTACATGTTTTGTGTATATTGGCATATTTGACATATAGTTCATTTTTTTGAGTTATTAGCACATATTATTTTTAATTCATATATTAATTTGTATACTTATTAAATGATATATTTTAATATATTAATATATTAATTCATAAATTCAGCAAAATAGTTTTTTGTGGGAGTAAAAAAAAAAAAAAAATTAGATTAATAAATGTTTGAATTCATTCTTATTTACTTTTCCGAACTTGTTTAAAAAATTTTAGTATTTTATCAATATTTTTATTTTTTAATGACATTACATTTTATAAGTTAAAAGCAGTACCACGAAAACAATGTTATTTCGCACCACTACCATTCTCCTCTTATTGACGTGTCCATTGCAATCTATTTTCGTCGCAACGTTTGTTCGTTAATTATAATTTTAATAAAATGTAACCGAAGAAAAAATATAAATGAATAATTCTTATTATTTTAAAAAATCCTAATACGTTTTTTTTCATGCCTAGTTAAGAATTTTTAATGCATATTTGATCAAATGTTAGAACATCATTGCATGCTTATTTATGCGTTTTTTAGTTTATGAACTTACAAGCTCTGATTATAATTGTATAGTGTATACTGCATAACGATTTTTGTATACTGCATACTAAAATAATATATTTTAAAAACATCGATGTTTTTTGCCGATCCCTAACGTCCAGTAACTATAAATCTTATTGTTTTAACATTTATATCGGCTGTAATATACGTTTTTTAATCAATTATACAACCCTTAGATAAATTCGTCAGAGAAAACGTTTACACGAAATTATGTTTTTACCGTGAAACACTTATAATGTATTAGCTCTTTATTTATTATTGTTAAGATTGTTGAAATTCGCAGCATTGACAGGGGCATTATCACTGTTAAAAATCTTATGAACCCATATGATATTTTCAAATCAATGACCTTTTTCATGATTGAATTATTTCTGTTATTTCGTACATTTTACATGAATCAAAAAATTATAATAGTCCTTCTAACGAATCTTCAAACCCTAGATTTTATAACTCTCAGTTACTTATCTCTCTCTTTCCTTTTGTATCTCTTATAATGATTTTTATAATAATACTGGTGATTGTATTCGTATTACGGACAGTATTATGCATACATTCGCGATTTATATATATAATCACTTACGGTATTAGCTAATCAACACACATCACACTTTTTTGGGATTCAAAGCACTTAATATCCGTTTGGTTTTCCAGGTGCCCGATGCGCAAGTATACTTCGACGGTCTAGCGCCAAACTGCGACAAAATCCCAATTGATCCGGAAGGTCCGGCGTACAGAAACATTGACGACGGTTCGAAGAGAGCATACGTGTGGGCCAGACCAACATACCTGTTGACGCGAAGCCGTGGATACATAGCTCTGCGGACGGGAAACCCCTTCGATAACCCAATTATCCAGCCGAGATACTTCCAGGACCGGAGGGACGTGCTGGCCATGGTGGAGAGCATACGCCTTGTGTTGGCGCTGATGGGTACGCGGGCGCTCGCTGAATGGGACATGCAACCGGACCCGACTCCGTACCCGGACTGCGCACATTATCCACACGGTTCCGACGCATACTGGATATGCGTGGTCGTCACTGACACCAAGCCGGAAAACCACCATTCGGGCACATGCAAGATGGGGCCGGTGTCCGACCCGGAGACGGTGGTTGATCCGGAGCTTCGGGTACTTGGCATACCCAACTTAAGGGTGATGGACGCGTCCGTGTTTCCTACCGGGCCTAACTGTAACCCCATAGCGCCTGTCATCATGGTAGCCGAGAAAGGATCGGATATGGTGAAACAGACATGGAGGGCGTATACGCACGAATACAATGTGCCACCGACTAAATAAAGACCGCAGTACGACATAGTTGTGATTTCACAACTGTTAGGGGGGGGGGGGGTATTAAGGTGAAAAATTCTATATGATAACTTAGCGCGAGAGCGTTTGACGTAGCTTATCGAACTCATTATCATCCAGAAAAAATTTGCAAATTTAACTTACTCGGGCGACACACTTACGTCTAAATATTATTATTACGTTATAATAATTTATTACTTTGAATAATTCTTATCTTCATAAGTATATTATTTTAGAATAGCTAATTTTTTTTTCATTGACTGATATTTATTTTTGAAAGCTTTAATTTTTAAAGCAATACAGTTTGGAATATTTTACATATATATATGAGTGTGTAAAATATTCAAAATTTCTATAATCCATTTGTAATCAAAAATTATCTGAACATGTTGAACCACATATACTCGTATATATAATACTGAATTAACGATTTATTAACCATATCATTATTTAAGTAGTTTATCAGAAATGTAATTTAAAATTGAAAAAATGTTCATCCAGTCCTTTAAATTGAAATCAGTGTAAATAAAAATCTTTGAAAACAGTCATACAGTTTAAAGTTAGGAATTTAAATTTTTAGTTATTGAAAATATAACGCCATTATTAAGACGATTGCTGAGTTCATTGAATAATTTTAAAATGTTTTGAATAATTTTAGAATTATTGGAATACATACGGGTAGAGTACGAATATTGAGTAATGTAAACATTTACTGGGTAATGCACCTATTGGATAAAATAAAAATATTTTTAATAAGTTTAGTTTGTATATTAACCGGATAATTTGTACATTGCCTACCTATGAATGGATATAGTGTTTTGATAAAATGAAATACGATAAAATATAAATTGTACGTTATGATAAAACCTGTGTAGTGATATTGTATGATAATTTTAAACTTCAGTACGATGCTATATATGCAAATTTCGAGTTCACTTATTCAGATTATTAAGATTTGATTATTTAGAGTATTAAAATATTTTCTTTAAAACAGAAATTTATGAAAGTTTTAATAAATTAATAAAAATAAAGAGAATCGGAGCTTTTCACTGAATCAAAATATTATGACATATCCGAAACGAGAAAAGCTAAATTAACCGAAAAAAAACAAGTAAATTACAATGAATCATTAATAGTTACTTTAAAAGTTACGGCTACAAAATAGTAAATGCACAATCTCTTTCTGGTGATCAAGGTTTTAAAAATTGTTTGTGTAAAAGATACTTTACAACTTTAATGCCACTCAAATTTGAACTATCCTAATAAATTAATATATTTAATTTTTAAAATATTTTCATATGTAAAATAATAACTTAATAATACCCAAGTTACTTAATAAATAGTTTTTTTTCGGATTAATATTATTTGATTTTTTTTTTCTATTTTATACTTTATCCAAAATATACTGAACAATGAGTACATTAGCTGGATAATGTACAAACTGTGCATATTTAATGTGGATAATGTACACATTATAATGTTCAAATGAATTAAGAGTATTTTACCCGGGTAATGTGCACACCAATGGTGCTCAAACATTTTCTACTTACCCGTGCTGTTGATAATTTTAACCACTTACTTTCAGTAGTTATCACCTTTCAAATAATAATAATAGTTTTACAAATACCTACATTGTAAATTTGGCCATTTATAATTCGACAAAATAATTTGTGTTATATCCTAAAGGTGCCTAATCGTAATACATTGGACATGGCAGTTAATAAGACCCACCCACCACCATTGGGCATCCATGCAATTTTATTACTTGGTAAGCGATATGGGCGCCAGTGGTGGACATTATCCATTTTTGAACTCTACCCGTAACACAAATACTTTAAACGATTATGTTTTGTGAATGTTGTATTATGATTTTATACAGAGTAGGTACGTTGACCATTTTGTACATTATAATTGACATTGTTTTACGTACCATTTGCATAAGACCTATTATATTCTTAATATCACTACAATATTTTGTTATTATAAGAAAGTAAGGCTTTGACAACACAAGTCATTAATTAAAATTATTATTATTTATATATTTATTATTTTCCCGGATGAATCGAGATCCGGTGGCGACACCCATTACTCGCGTATTTTTGAAGGTTAGCTTTGTATTTCATAATACACAACTTGCTTTACCGGGAGAAAACTGTATAAATGTGCGCGCGTTTATATATTTAAATGATCGCATTTAATGATAAAAAAACAAATCAAGTCCAGGATAATTATTGATCCGAAACAAATGAGTTCAATGTAATACGCCCTAGATTTTTGTTTTCCAAATATTTCGTCATTGAAATACTAACAGTTGTTGGGTATATATAATGGTGCAATGTTAATTTTCGATCACCGTACAAATGTTGTTTTTTAAGGGGTTTTTTTTTAACTTAAAGTCTGACTTATGTGATGTCTCTGACGGAAATACTATTTTTTTGTTTATGCACTGTTGTATTATTTATTTACATTAGTTATTATGTTTAAATAAATGCTATAAGATATTATACTGTATGCTTTTACATTTTACACAACTCCAGAACATCTGAGGTAGGTAGGTACGATGAGCAATTTATAAAATAGTTTTTTATGGTGTGATGTATCGTTAAACTAAAAGTTAGTGAAAGTATATGGTACTATATTATACTGGTGTACCTGTCCAATATTTCCTCGAAACCGTAGGGAGATGATTTAAAATACACTCTCTTTTATTTACATGCATGTATATAAATTGAATATCAAAATAATTACTATCATAGTTATAATAAATAGTATTACTTTTATATGGTTTTTATGCACGTACATAAGCAATATTCTTTGAACATTACTTAAACGTATGTATGTTTGAATACTTTTAGGATGGTTTAATAAAATATACAAAGTATTATTATAAAATCAATGGTAATATTTTTTAGTGAATATATTACAATAATTATGATTATTATTGAATCAATTCACTCATTATTTTACATCTTTAGTGTTCCCGTTGAAAGTTTAGAGAAACTTAATTTGCAGTAAGAATTCACATCATGATATTATGATAATATCACGTTTCAACGATTGAAGATAGCATAGGACAGTATATAAATAATCAATTAATATTATTATTAATTGAAAAATTATCTTTGATCTTTGCATATTTTTATATATCGAGAGGTTTCATGCATTCTAGTAACAACGCACTCTATAAGAAACTAAAAGTTTTTATATATAACGTATGTACCTATAACATGTTTATCGATGGAATATTGTTTTATTAATTTTGTTTGATAGTTAATAATTTAGAATAATATTTATTGTTGTGAAGAAATTGAAATTTATTAATAAGTACGCGCAATATGGTATCGTAATTTATTCCATAATAAAAAGTTCAGAAATACGATTACAATAGATTTTAAGTCTACCACCAGCCAGAATAATTATTTCAATAAAAGTATAACATAATTTAGGTACTACCGGGGGCGTATTTAGATAGAGGCTATGAGTCCCGTTGCCCGGAGCGGAAATTTTTTAAAGATTTAGGGAGGCGGACAGTTTTTATTTCGTACTTTACACACTGACACAACTTACCCAAATGATTTGGCAACATGTTCTGCAAATGAGTGTGTACAATTTCAAGGCTATTTAAAAAAACATTAAAGTTAAGTTTACAACAATACAGATGTTTCGGTTCATAAGAGAACATGATTTTACTAGTATTTATTCCTATGTTGAAGTAGCTTTACGTATTTTTTTGTGTACACAATCTACAAATTGTACTGCAAAGCATTCTTTTTCTACATTAGAAATAATAAAAACTATTGACGGTCTACAATGGTTGAAGACCGCTGCTCGGCTTTACCAGTATTAATAACTGCAGCTGAAATAACCACTTCATTGGATTTTGAATAAATAATTAATGATTTTGCTGGTTCTAAATCAAGGAAGAAAAATATTTGAATTTTGTATTTATATTGTATATCTAGCAATTAATAGAGGTTTTAATAAATAATAATAATTAGTAACAACATTTTTTTTTTAGTGGGGGGAGGGAATATGTGTTGCCCCTATCCTGAAATTCCTAAATACGCTCCTGGGTACTACCAAAAATATCAAGCCTCTATAATTTAAATATTCAATAACTATGAAAATTCTAGTAGACATAAACATAAAAAAGGATTAGGATTTTTGGATGTCAATCTGTCCAAAGAAAAGAAAAGGAAGCTGTCCAAAGATTGATATATTGTAAATAATTGATGAGTCTTTTTCTTCGTAGCATTTGTTTTAATTGTATATTTTTATAAAGAAATGTTAAGTAAGTACCTATAGCAGTTAATTTAATTTAATTAAATTTTTAAAAGTTGGAGTTACCTAAAATAAAAAGTCAAATATTCTAATGTTTTGACTATTGACTGTTATGTAAATGTAATGTTTGATTGAGAAATAGATTTTCAACTATATCAACACTTACTCTTTAAACATCGATATTTATTGAAGTGTAATTCCTAGGTCAAGTATGAACTAATTACAACTATTTGTATTTGTCTATACTTAAGCTTATAGACAAATATGATTGGCATATTTAAAATTCGTTTATGTATAAAAAAAAAATAATTGTGACAGTAAATAAAATATAAGATTATTAATTTTAAGAAGGTATTTAATTTAGTTGAAAAGCTTTTAGTTAAATGGTTAGCAAATATTTTTCTTGTAAGTTTTTAAATAAAATAACATTACAGTGTGATGATTCAAATACACAATTTGAACTTAAATATTAAATTATTAATTTTGACAAGTTTTTAGTTGATTACAATTCTTATTTTAAAGTAACTAATGGTTATATTTTTTAACAATTAAATATAAAATAATGTAATGCGAAAAATAAATTCAATATACTTGTATTACTAAATCATTTTTAATGCGATTACATTACACAACATTTTGTTTTGAAAAAAGTATTTTATATTTCTATATCTGATCTAAACTTACCAAATATTTTGGTTTTTTTATATTTATATATATATATCGTTGATAATTTTTTTTTATCCCAAAAATACTTCAATGGCCCATGACTAGATAAATACAGTAGACACTAAAGAATAATATAAATATATATTTACTCATTCATATAATGTGAGGTAATTCGGCGTAGGATTGAGGAACATTTAAAACTAAATAATAAGTAACATAATCTACACTACTAATTTTATTTTTGAATGATAGATTTACAATTAATACTTACAAAGTACTTATGTATTTTTAATACATTTTAAATGCTACTGAAATTAATTTTAAATTTCTATTAACTTGTTATTGGTATATTATAGTTATAATAGTAAATGCTTTTAATTATTATTAACCTTTATTATTAACTTATTATTAACCTCTGGATTAAAATAAAATCATATTTTTTAAAATTAAAAATGTAGAATCGACCGTCGAAAATGTATCCAAATGGATAACGATTAATACAAATATATTGCCGTATTTTTTTTTATATACAATACTAAAAAACACGTAACAATGTGACTGTAATATGAGTCAATTATACTCTGTTGGTTTTATAGCGAATGTTGACAATTGGAGGGAAATAAATATTACGCTTGATTCAACAGCTCTAAAATGATCAATCTATATCGAGCAGATCACGAGGAATGTTTTATTTTTTAAGTTTACGAAAACATGTAAAACTGTTGTTTTTAGTAAAATTATGTTTATATATTAAATAATTATTATTTTTGTAAATGTAATATTATATTATATTTAAATATATATATGTGTGTGTGTGTGTGTTTGTGTGTGTGCGTGTATGTGTATGTGTGTAAATTAACAAGCACTTATAATCATCAAGGTAATTTGAATACTTTATTAAATAATATTTTTTTATATTCTACATAGAAACACTTAATTTTATTAAGTAGTAGGTAAATTTATTTAATTTTGTATACCAATACATAATTTGAATTTGAATTTATAAAATATACTTTTTATGATTCAATAAAATTATTTTTTTAATTATTTATCCTTAAAGTAAAATGCTTAAATAATAAGAATTAAATACTAATATTTTTTTTATGTTTTTTGTTTAAATTTCAAAAAAAAATTTGGACACAAGAATGTATAATTACCTTTTTTTAACTATGATATTACTATATATATGTTATTATCAATCAGGGCTAGGATTTGCATACAACAGCATGATTTTTTTGCGACTTCTAATTATTGATTTTGTCAGTAATATCCATGAATGATGAAATAAATGGTGGTGTTTATATTTTGCATATTTTCGCATATTTTGGATAAAATGCATATTATTTGATATGTTGAATAAAATGAATATTATCGCATATTTCGATAGTAAAAATGTGAAAAATTTATGTTTTATGGTATATTTCGTAATTAATATTTATAATTTAATATTAATATTTAATTAATATTAAATTAAATTAATTTAAATTTAAAACGTATTTAATTCTAACCCTGCTGATTAAAGTACAAAACTTAGTTTTTTGTCAAACATAAATTTTATTTTAAATTATTTTATTTTATTTCTCAATTATATTATATGAAGACAAACAGCCAACCACTGATGTTTTTCAATAAATAAATATTTTTTTTGTAACTATATTTTTCCGTTTACTTTTATACAATAATCACTAACCAATATGGTCATACGGAATTACCCTTTGAGATACAGCTAAACCCTCAAATTTCAAAACAATTCAAGCATTTCAATCAGTTTGCCTCCGCATACTCACCAAAGCCTCTTGGTTTGTCACAAATGCCACTCTACATGAAGACCTCAAAGTTCCATCCATTAAAAACTATATTTTTGTGTTTATCTTAAAAACATTTACCATAAATGCATATTTTTGCATATTTTGATAAATAAAATGTATTTTTTACAATTTTTTATTGCATACAAATCCTAGCCATGGTTATTATATTTTAATTTTAGAAATTCGTTTAAGAAATTCAGTTAATTTTTATATTTTTAATGATCTGATATGAAATATATAGGTAGAATTTTTTAATTACCATCGATAATAAATAAAGCATATTTGAAATGAACAATTTATTTTAGTTTTCTGACAAAATAGCTGAAATTATTTTATAAACATATTTATATATATTATTAGTATTATATCTCTAATGAAAATATTTAAAACGATTTAAAGAATGAAATAATAGAAGAAATAATTTAATTTCAAAATCATATAGTAGTATAAGCAAAAGTCAATACAAACCAAACAATCATTAGATGAAGACATAACAATACATTTAATAATTATAGAGATAATTTGAGTTTATTTAATGTAACACGTTAAATTAAAACACATTTTATACAAAAGTTCTAACAATACAATCATTGAAAAAATTAAAATAATAAGTCAATCTGTCATTATGTGATGTTACTTTTAGAAAAAAAGCTGATTTATATGAGAACTATGAAGAACTATGAGCTAAATTGAAAATATTAAACATATATTAAATTCAGCAGAAATTATTACCATTGGAAATTTGTTATTCTCAAATAATGTATTAATGATTTTTTATAAAAAAAAAAAAAAAAAAACAATGATTATTTATTTTTTAAGCCAAAGATTCATTATAAAAACAAATTGTTCATATTCTTATGATAAATAATTTTTTTTGTATAATAAAAAAAATTGAAATGTGAATAAATAATGAATTATATAAACTATATGAATATACCACGGTATCAAATAATTAAAAATTGAAAATTATATAGAATTACAAATCTTTTGTTAGTAATGATAATTTAAAAATATTTTCTAAAGTAGTAAATATTTTTGTAATCACTTCTTAATTTCATTAAATATACTAGAAATTCAACTTAATTTTATTGAATTATTAATAAAGTTATATAAAATAACTATAATTCATTAAACATTTTCTAACGTAAAAAAATATTTCTAATTAAATTAAATTTAAAGGCCTATCGATATATTATTAGACAAAAAAAAAAAGGATTTAATATAAGCGAAATATAATAAAAACATCATATTTAAATTATATACCTACTTACTTTTATCAAAATCTCCAATGTGGGTTTATATTCTAATATATTACATCATGAGTTAAATTAATTAAAGATAAGATGAAGTTTTTATATGCATATATAGACATTAATGGAAAATATTTTTAATTACTTTATTCAATACATAAAAAATATCAATAGAGAAGAATTATAATTGTTTAATATTTACTGTTTGGTCAAGGTCTGTTTGCATTTTATTACTTATAATATTAGCCCATTTTCGCAAATGAAACTTAAAAAAGCTCACATAAATTAATTTCCTTCAATAATTGTATTTCAAATTAATATTATTTTGTATACCATAAAAACTTTATTGTGTATTTTTAAATGTAAAAAAAGGGTTTGTATATAAACAATCCCATATTGTAGGTATCTATAATAAATAAATAAATAAATAAATAAATAAATTATATTATTTTTTAAGACTTGCTTTTTGTTCACTTTAGAAAAATAAATAGTAAATTCGCTAAATAATAGGAATTCAGAATCATTAGTCTTCAAAAAATGACAATTTTCTTCATTGTTATTTGACATTTTATTATTTTTTTTAAGAAATTGTTTTTATTTTATAATATAAATTTACTCCTTTATTTCAAAAACAAGTATTTTTTAATAATTTCCTTGGACTAAGGTATTATTTGTGTTGTCTAATCAATAATAATTTTGTATGAGACTTTAAAAATGTGTAAAAATAAACTTGATAATACATATCTAGTCAAAGAAATGTATATATCCGTGTGAACTGTACATGTTATTGAATAAGTAGGCTACAAACGATTAAATTATTATAAAAGTACAAATATACGTAAAACATTGCAGAAATACTGTTAAACATTATATTAAATATAAAATGTGAGTCTTGGTATTTAGGTATACAATCACTTATGCAATAAGGAAAATATGAAGAAATATAATTTGACACGGGTGCGTATTGGATGTGAATTAGGCGAATTGAAAATGACTACTGAAAAATGACAATTCAATGGATTTAGATGATACTTTATGTATATTTATTTTTTATTTTTTTTTTTTTTGAAACATTTAATCATTAATCATTTGATGAACAAATACGTATTGTAATATAGAGTAACTTTGATAATAATAATCATGAAAAAAAATATTATTGGTTTCTTTCATTAAACTTTTATTAAAATTAATAAACATATGTATACTTTCTAAATTTATTAAGATATTTTATGTAATGTTCCTTTAGAAATATTATACAATATACTAGCAGTTAAAATTAAAATTTGATCATCATATATATATATTGGTTAAAGCTTCCAGTTTATTATACGTATAGTTTTTATAAGTCGGAGTGTCAGAATTTATTTTTAGAGTGCAAATTATTAATAAAAAGAAGAGATAATATGTCAAAGTTATTAAATAAAAGTTATCAAATTTAAAACCAATTAAAAAAAAATTCAAACTTAATTCATAATAACTTATTTCAATGTCTGTGACATTACAAAACATTTAAAGTACAATCTAGAATATAGGTGTATTAAATAAAAATGTACTTGCTTTGCTTAGATCTTAATTTTGCAAAAGGTATGATTAGTTTTTGAAAAACTAACAAATATTGGTAGGACCGATTTATCAAAACCGCATTTTGAAAAGTTATTCTTTTAAGCTAGTAGAAAATCGATTGCAAATTATTTATTCATACCAATATTTCAATAAAATATTATAAATTGTCAAAATTACCATATATTATTATTGATAGCTCATTTTCCAGTACGTATAGCTCAAACTAAACTAAGTTCAACATGATTTAGTTTAGTTTTATATCTTATAATCGATGAAAAAAATATATAGAAATATCTTATAAAGCACAACAGAATGAAAACTATTCCGAGTCAGGTGTAAAATTATCCAAATTACTTATGCATGCAAAGAATGAACGATTTTCAATGAAGTGATTTTTGGTTCATTAGTTTTACCATTGATTTTAGAACATTTAGTTTATTCTAATATCAATTGTTTTACGAAATATTTATAGTTTTTTCTTTTTGGTTTACAGTTCAAATGTAACCCGATAAGGAAATTGTACGGCACAATTGAACCGTTTAAAAAATTATTTATTTACATATTATATATATATATTACAAATGTATTTACTGTTGTTCTGTTTAGCATCATTGTTGTTGTTAATTCGTTAACCATTCACCCGACTCCGGGATCTTAGCTTGAAAAATGGTTAAACACTACCCCACGCCATTCACGCCCAAAGATTCATCGGAAATGTGCATGCAGACCAGGAAGCCACTATCAGCTTGTCACACGGAGAATTTTGTGTTCCTTCGATTTCTCATGCACTTGTTCGGATACACCGTTGACGGTCCATCTATGGGCAACAATAAAAATGTACTAATAGAATCCGACCAGTCGGAAACGCAAACCAAAAACTTCTTGGACGGTTATGGACATCTATTCGATGAAATGTTTATGTCCGTTTTCCAGAAAAAAAGGCGAAAAAGAGCAGTGCCCGATGAGTACGATTTCGTGGTAATTGGCGCTGGATCTGCAGGCTGTGTTGTCGCCAATAGATTATCAGAGATTAAAGACTGGAAGGTAAGTCATCGTTCTGTTATTCTATAGCCTCAACAAATCATTCATGTTGATAATATTGCAAGTAGTTGTATTTAAAACTAAAAATCATTTTTAAAAAGCTACTAAAAATTAAATGAAAGTAATATAAAATTTTAAAATATTCCAATGGTAATAAAACTAAAGAATAATTTAACGAAATAGTAAAAATTTCTTCATATTTATAGTATTATAAAATAAGGTGTGATTTAATAAAGGTATTTTCTCTGACCGTTCGGTTAATTTCATAAAAAGTTTAAAAAAATGTTTCAAACATACCCAATTTAAATACTTACAACACATTTTGATTGTGTTTTATGATTAAAAAAAGGTGTCAATTCTATTACGAAGTCGACATTGGTTAATGTCGAGTCACGTTACTATAGGTAAATGTCTACATGCATTATTCTTGTTGCACTACCAAGTTAATATTTTTCATTGTTATTATTTATAAAATAACAACAATAATAAATAATTCTGTTTTATTCGATCTATTAAAATTGTTAATGAACGAAGAGACCATTACACAGTTATAGCCATCGACATACTTTAATAACTAAATTTTGTTTAACGCTTATTATGGTTATAAACTATAATAGTACGTCATTAATTTAAATTGTTATTATCATGTCGATATAGGTGTTACTACTTGAAGCTGGTATTGAGGAACCTGAGTTCTCTTCTGTGCCAGGTCTTGCGCCATTACAATTGGGAAGTAAGATTGATTGGAATTACACAACACAACCCGACTATCATATGTGTAGGTCCAGACCAGGTGGAATGTGTGACTGGGCAAGAGGTAAAGTGATGGGTGGATCAAGTACAATTAACTATATGATTTACACTCGAGGGAATATGGAAGATTACGACGAGTGGGAACGTATGGGCAATGATGGTATGTATATAAATGGTAAATATGAAATTTAAGAATAGAGTGTTTTTGTCTTAATAACCTATGAAATAATTACTAGAAAGAAGCCATAATGTACCGTATAAGAAAATAACAGTAATGAGCTTATTCAGTTTTAATGAGTGATTAATGTCTATCGACTGATTTAAAATCGAATTTGATTATTAACGCTTAATTAATATTTTGAAATTACAATAGGAATATATCTAACTCAAAGATATTATCTTTGAGCCAAATCATGGCTCGTAAGTCAATACACTAAAATCTCATAAATAAGCAAACAACTATGCTGTAAAAAATGTTTAAATATGTTTAAATCATTTTAATAATCGTAAATGGTGATGAAATAATTATCATTAGTAATGGAACTATATAATTGGTAAATAATACTTTAAAAGTTAAAATATTATTTTTTTTTTTGTAACATATAGAATTTATAGTTTAATTCTACGGCAAGAATTAAGGTAGTAAGTTTATTATTTGTTTTAATTTGACGTGTTTCGATTGTAGTGGATCGTCGGCCATTTTCTAAATTCATAGCTATATCAGCTGTCAATATTAAGTAATATGAAAGATCCCTGATAAATTTAAACTGAAAAAATGTGTGGTTGGAGGGTAAGCAAAGTGTGGAAGCCAATAAAATCCAGTCCATGTATTCATTTTGATAGAAAACACGAAGAGAAAATTAAAATATTGATGTTAATGAAGAAAACTAGTAAAAACTTTTGAAAAGGTATGCCCAACATGTATCTATCAGAAGAAAAACAGCTTGTGGATCTTCTGCTGTAAGAATATAATATGATCACGAATAGAACTTAGTTTATGAACACTGATCGTAGTTGTATAGCCTATTATTGTTATTCACTAAAAATTAAGTAACAGCAGTGCCGGACTTGGGATTTTTGTGCCCCTAGTTACTTTTGAACATACGCCTTTAATGCCAAAAAAAAATGGTTGAGAATTACTAATAAGGTATCCTAAGATCTTGTTAAAAAATTTGTCTCTCTCTGTACATTTTTTGGAATCTGGTTTTACTTATTTTCCTTCCCTTATTTATTTTTATTTTTTTTTTATGTGCATGTACTGTAAAAAAAAAAAAGTTATCACCATAAATTATTATATATTATAGTCATGTAAAATGTAAAACTCAAATATTATAAAAACTATTTAAACAACTATGTAAATTTGATGTATTCAAATTTTAAGTGCCTTACATCATGAATTTTCAGAAAAAAGTTATCTATTATTAAATCTAACGGTATCTGCTGAGTAATTTTATTTTCAATATTAAATATGGCTGGTGAGTTAATTCTATTTTGAGACATAGTAGATCGTAAGAAATTGTTTACTCATTTTAATCATTTATTGTACTGCCGAAAAACTGGCAACAGCTATTGATGTCAAAATAGGAAACATAATTTTTAATATTTGAGTAACTTTCTGTGAGGTTTTTCTTTTACATAATTATTTATAAGTTAAGTTGATTATATTTTTCATGAACTAATGTTAGTTAGTTATGACAGGTAATTGATCATCCGAACGTCACAATATAATAGGAGTGGTGGCAAACGTTGAGATAATTGATTTTTAAAATATTATTTATTGAATGTCAGGGCAATTGACGAAATACAAAAACAAAACAATAAGAATCTTAATTACATGGGAATTATAATTAAAATACTAAAACAAAAATAATAATAAAGTAGAATGAAAATGTTTGAATCTTCCCTAAATGTTACACCCTAGGCACCTCGCTATGTTATTTATCGGTAAATCCTCCATCGATTAACAAGTATTTAACTAAGAAATTAAATAAATATATTATAATTTGTACTATAATACGGAATATTAGCGAAGCAAATTAATTAAAAATTATCATTCACAAAAGAACTCACGTGTATAGTGTAATGTGATATAAAAAAATATTTTTTTTTAATAACTTTTTAGATGTATAATGAATACGATTCCTAATACATACAATTAATCATGTAACATGATGTAGTTATTATCAATCATTTGAAATTTGTGTTAATCATTAGTAATATAAGTTGTATATACTAATAAACTATGGAATTGGTACATTACTATAAAATAGCTTAAACATAATAGGTTATAATAATATAATACTTTTACATTTTAATTTAATTATATACCATATAAATAGTAAAATTATTACTTAATATTTTATAACTTATTAAGTTATAAGTATAATATAATATTGTACTCAATAAGCATAACTATTATCATATTTAAATTTTTCATTCAATTTAAATATCTATACGTTATAAATAAATTTTATTATTTTTCTAAAGAAATATTTATTTTATAATACTCTAAACATCAGATAATTTTTTTATTAAAATAAAATAATATTTTGTCTTTGTAAGGTTGGGGATATGATGAAGTTCTTCATTATTTTAAGAAGTCTGAAGATAATGAAGATCCAGAAGTTTATAAAAAAAATCCAGAATTTCACGGTAAAGGAGGATATCTCACAGTAGAATGGTTTCCATATGTAGATCAAACTGCAGTAACATTGATAAAGGTACAAAACTTAATGAATGTTTATTATCAAATTATTTTATTTATACAAACTTAAATTGAAAACAGTTAAGTAAATTATTTAGACATTATAAAATAGAATTTTTAATTTAACAAATTTATAATTTTAATATTAGTTCATATCACCTACATATTATACATTGTGCGTGTTAATAATAATAATAACACACTAGCATACTTCAAATTTTCAACTATTAAGAATGTATAACAATTGCAATGTCAAAATTATATTATCTTTTAGGCATGGCAAGAATATGGTTTACAGTATGTAGATGTAAATGCAGAAAATCAAATAGGCGTTACTCATTTACAATCTACGGCTAGACACGGCGAAAGAATGAGTACGAACAAAGCATTTATACGACCGATTAGAAAAAAACGAAAAAATCTAACTGTACTCACTGACGCTCATGTAACTAGAGTGTTGATCGAAAAAAAAAAAGCTACGGGAGTGGAATTTTTATATAAAAATAAAATGAGAACGGTGTTTGCCAGGAAAGAGATAATTCTTAGTGCCGGGGCGTTGAACTCTCCAAAAATATTGATGCTTTCCGGTATTGGACCTGAACGACACTTGAAGAAAATGAATATTAAGGTGGTGAAAAATTTAGCAGTTGGAAGGAATCTACAAGATCACGTCACGACCGACGGTATAGTTATTAGAGTAAAAAAAACAGCCACCGACAAGTCTCTCAAGGAGAAAAAAGAAGACGCTATTTTGTATAAAAAGAAAAGAAAAGGTCCTTTAGCAGCTACCGGTCCGTTACAATGCGGTGTATTCCTTCAAACTAAGTATGTGTGGCTATATATACTTTACTTCGCGGCGTTTGTGTATGCAATACATTGTGCGTTCAATTTATTTGTCTCTACAACTAGCTATAAAATATTTGGCTAATGTTTCAAACAAAAACATTTATTATTTCTTATATGAATAATGTTGACATTTATATAGGTTTGAAGATTCACACGACCTTCCTGACATTAACTATGCATTTGATAACAGCAATGAGAAAGATTGGATTCTTGATCCCGGAAATGCCACGAAATTTGCTATGTCTCCAGTTTCTTATTATGAAGCTATTAACGTACGACCGATTTTGTTGAAGCCAAAAAGTAGAGGTTATATTTTGCTCAATAATACTGATCCCATTTGGGGTCAACCATTGATTTACCCACGTTTCTTTACTAAAGGAAACGATCTGGCAATACTTATTGAAGGTAAGGTTTTAATCTTATAATATTAAATTATCGACTGAAAAATTTAAGTTTATAATCTACTTTGGTCATAATCCAAATATTACTATCATATCAATTATTTAATTGTTTTATTTTAAATTGTTTTGCGATAATTTTTCATTTAAAATAATTCCCATGCTTAATTGATTATTCTAATAAAAATAGTTAACAAAGATTTCACACTTGAGAAAATTATTTTTAGTACTTTGACTTCGTATTATGAAATTATACATCAGTATCATACCCTTGGTCATTAAGCATTTTTAAGAGCAAATATATTTAAATATAAATATAACGTTAAGACATTTCAACTGTGATTAATGGGTACTGTAATTAGTTGCAAGTTTTTTTTTTACATTCTTCTTTGCGAAATGTTCAAAAATTATAATATTCTAATTACAAAAATTATTATTCAGCATCTAATTTATCTAGCCAATATCATTTCCAAAAAACACACGTTTCTCTCGTGCTTATTTTGCACCATGCGTAGAAATAATACATGTCTACACGTGTTATATAATATTTAATGAAAATATTTGCCAAAACGAACATTCACCTAACAAGTAATGAAGCATTATGTAATTTTCTTGGGGTCATCATCATATTATTATTATCATACATAGTACATTACTTATGCCCATTGTACATAATAATAATTTGGCAAGTAATGGGCATCTTCTAAAATGGTGATTTACTATCTATTAATGACAAGCGCTAGAACCAGGTTAATGGTATTTAGTGTGAAATATGTGTGTGTGTTAGAGCATGCGTATTAATATAGTAGAATAATAAAACCAATATAACCAAATATAACAAAAAAATTATTTCATAATGAGGCACATTAATCATCATTTTGAATAAAAATAATAATGTAATCGCGAAGTGTACGCCAATAACACGTGGATGACGTTTTGTAGAAAAAGCATGAATCGAATTGACCGTTTACGTTCATCCATTAATTTGAGTTAACTGATTCGCAACGAATCAATGCGAATTAAAGTGTAAATATACCATAAGCGGAAATTTGATGAAATTAGTGGGGGGGAGGGGGCTGAGCATTATTTGGTTATTACACCTCTAGGTACCCCTGTACGCAATTATTTATTTCAACAAGGCAATTTACAAAGTTTGACAGTTTGACATACTCAACAATTTAACCAAAAAAACAATTAGGTGCCTTATCTCAAACATTTTTGGAGTAGGTATAATAAACAGACATTATTAGTTAATTAAATTAAACAACCAATACGGGTATTATTACATATAATTAATATTACATTAATCACGATAGCTCCAAGTCATGACAGTAAATTTGTAAAATCTTACGAATTTGATTAAATTTTTATCATAGAATATTTTTTTTAATTCAATTATTAAAAATGCATTTTACAATTATAATAATTATTGTATTTTTAGGACTAGGGGGGCTTTCCCCCCCCTCCCCCCCCCCCCCCCCGATTTCCGTCTATGGAGTTTTCATACATATTTTACTTCTGACGTGATTCTTAATGCTAAATTATGGCATATTTCAAATAGGAATTAACTGAACCGTTTTAATTTACACCTATCAATTCGAATAAACAACCATTTATATGCTCTGAGCTCTGAAAATAAGAGGGGAGTAAAATATTTCAAGGTAAATCGGTTTATATTGCAGCGCATACACACTCGTATCATACCTAAATACATGCTTTTAACATAGAACAGAACACCCTAAACGGTGGTTTAATTTGCAACCACTTTAACATACGTATAATAACAACAATATTGAATACAGTATAATGAAAACAAATGGGCTGACATATTATATTTTAATAATATTTATCGTATTAATGCATGTGATCGCGGATTCACAGGGATTAAGATCGGAGCAAATCTGGTGAAGACGCATTCGATGCGGAAGATCGGAGCGTCACTGGTGGATGTGCCGGCCAAGGCGTGCAGGGATCACAAATTCGGCACGGACGAGTACTGGGCGTGCGTGGTTATGGAGTACACGGCCACTATATACCATCCGGTGGGCACGTGCAAAATGGGCCCGGAGCACGACGAGGAGGCCGTGGTCGACCCGCAGCTGAGGGTGCACGGCATCGCCGGTCTCAGAGTGGTAGACGCGTCCATCATGCCGACGATCGTGCGAGGCAACACGAACGCGCCGACCATAATGATCGCAGAGAAAGCGTCGGACATGATCAAGGATAAATGGTTGCACAGCGGTTAGAAACCATAACTATAATACAGTATTCATAATAACAATTTATGTAGTCCGATTACGAGTCATATACATATATTTTGCGGTTACCTTTTATCCCCACCACTTTTCGTCTCGGTACGACCAAGATACGTCGACAAGAGATCTACCGACCGCCTCCCCTTTAAAACCTGGATACAATTGCATGATTAATGTTTTTGCTAGTTTCAGAGCTATCTAGTTTCAAAGAATTGCATGTTTTCACAAGTTACATATTAAAACCGATTTGTAATTTTTTTTCATCTTATATATTTTTTTTTAATTTATAGATACATTTGATATGAGAGAAGATGATGATTATGAATATGAACGTTTTGTTAACGATTTTTAATGATTAACATGAACACCCGTAATTTTCCGGTAACCGATCTATTATGGCAGTTCAACTAAAACAAGTGTCGTCTGTAAAGCCATTCGAATTTTGTACTTGATATTTACTTTAAAACAATGCAATATTTTCCGAAAGGACTCAGTTTCCATGTTAACAACGTTAAAATCATCAATTATCGTACGGTAAATGCATGTTGCTATCAATGCTATCATGGTCAGACACTACGCTTTTTCTATGCTTACAGTCGTCCTTGATAAAATTTTTATTTTACAATATGAGCTTCGACTCTATCTTCTTCTTGATAAAAAAAAAAAAAATATCTTTACTATAAATAATTTAAGAAATAAACTTCTTATGGGAACCGGTCTATTTCACTAAATATTATATTCAAATTCAAATCCAGATCCAGTAAATAGTATTACTTTGGTCTGTAGTAATATTATATGGTTATACTATACATTATACAAGTATAAATTAACGTGATTGCAATTTATGTTCACATGCATGTATAAATTCGTAAATAAGATGTGTAATCATTATGGACACAGCATATATATTTATTTGGTATTTTTAACTGTAGTCATTTTACTATTTCTGATCTTGTCTGTTAAATTAAAAACTATTGACAAAACTAAAATAAACTACACCACAGCCTGAAAATTTAAATATATTTAAAATAAAAAACTGAGTAATTGCACTTTAATTATTAAAATATAATGACACGTTGTAGGTATTCGTTTCCATCGTACAGTAGTATGATCTATTTATTTAAAAATAACTCCAATATGATATAATTCATATCATCCAATCATATAAATGTGGTACATAAAATATCCCAAGTTTGAAAAATGGTTTAATGTTAGTACATAAATACGTAAGACTTAGTACTCGTAAAACGATTATACGGAATCATAATGACAATTTTAAAATTAATGAGTACTTACTGAATATAATTATACACACTAAGTTATTATGGTAAAATTTTAATTGTACATCTAAATAGAGCATACTGTAAAAATAGTTAATTTGATACTCTCATAACAATAACAATTTAAATCTAAGACATTAAATAATTTCATAATTCAAAATTTTCCAAATTAATATTCTAGTCATAGATAATATTTAAAAAAAATTATGTATGAAGTAGGAAATATATTCTTCGTATTATAATAATCATAGCTATTTTATAATACTATATTTTTAATACATAAAATTTGTTGGTAACGAATTTGAAGTATGTGTATATACTTGTATGCAAACGAAAAATATAAAAAAATGAATATTAAATTTTTTTTGCGATTTCATTGATATTTTATCAATATTTAATCATGTTTTTATAAACATTTCTTGAATAAATTTATACTTTAAACCTGAGTAACTAAAGAAAAATTGTTAAATACTAAAATATCACTTTCATTTAGATGAATTTTTTTATAATTGATTATCAATCTTTAATTAAAAGAAACTTGTGAAATATTTATTTTTTATATTATATAATATAATTTTAATCACACGTAAACTTACATAAAATTAATGAAAGAAAACTAATTTCTCGACTTGCTATATATACCAATATTTATATAAAACAGTTGTCCCTGAAAATAATTCATATTACTTATTTAATCAGTGTAATGAATAACATACAGAAGTTTTTATTTGTATGGTTATACTAATATGTAGCATGTATTAGTTCAAGTTTTAATATAATAACTTTCTATGAACTTAAATAGATGCTTTATAATATATTTATTAAAAAACGTTAGCTTATTATTAATGTATAATCATAAACTAGAGATATTTTTTATTACATTTCTACCTCATTTATAATTCATAAAACTATAAGAGCTAAGTTACAATAAAAGTTATGTTAGATGTATGATTTTTGTTGAAAATAAAAATGGTACCTAATGAAAGTCTTCTTTAGTCCTTGCGTTTAATGTAATTAGTCATAAGATATCTGCTTAAAGTTTCCTTTATTTAATTATTATATAATATATCCGCGGCTTCTATGACTATTAGACATTATAATGTTTTAGACTTAATACATAATGAAAATAAACTTATTACTTATTACTAATTCATTTATAAAATAAACAAATAGATTGGTGCAGGTTGGTTACAGGAGGTTGATGAGATGTGTATCTGTGAGGAATTGGCAGAGCTTGACAATATTGTCTGGTTTGGGGCTTAGTGTTTCAGTCAGGTGATAAGATATATGCTGCTTAATTTTCTCCATATTGTGTGCGTTACATTCGGTGATTATATATTTGACATCATACATGCAAATGGGGGAGGTCCTCTTTTTTCATTAAGTGTCTGTGTGTGTAAGACGTGTGTGTCCGATTCTGAGGCGATTAATAGCTGTCTCGTCTTTTCTTGGGGTGTTGACAGGAAAAGTCCAGGGCAGTATTGATCTTTTAATTTCATTAAGCTTCGTGGTCATACTGTTCCATTGTGTTTCCCATTGTTGACATGTATCTCTTTCGATGACCTTTTTTATATCGCTGTAAGAGAAGAGGTAGGAGTAGGGAATATTAGTATTTGTGTGAGCTTGTTTGGCGGCCTTGTCCACACGTTCGTTACCATCGATGCAACAGTGACCCGGAATCCTTGAGTACGAAATGTTTTTGCCTGATAACTGTGCTTTGTAGTGGGCGTTATGAATTTTCCTGACTATTTCGGTGGGATTTTGGACATTTTTAAGACTAGTAAGAGTAGATAGTGAATCACTACAAATTGTGATATTGTTATTATTAATTTCTGAAATAGTGTATTCGATCCTTTATTTAATATATTTGTGTATTTTATAAAATGTTATATAATTCAACAAGATCATAATTTTAAGTAAATATAAATAATACCTAAGTATAAAACTTAAATTTTCGTTTTTAAAATATGTTACCACATGATTTCACGTATACAATTATTTTAACAAACTTCTACATTGTATTATTAAAACACTTTTTTTTGAATAATTCAATGTTTAAAATATGCTCATACAGTTATGCATTTTTGATACTCATCGAATTATACATTTCATTAGATTTTAGTTTTATGTGAATTTTATAATTTTTATGGTTATCAATTTGTTGTTATTTTAAATTTATTACTAACTGATCAAATTATTTGAAAAATGTTTACTGCCATATCGTAAGCAACATAAGTAGTCTCTAAATTTTTGAATGGAGAGTAAACTATGCAACATTTTTACAAAGTAAATGTATTTAGCCTTTGGTAAATATCTTTGTACTGCCTAATCAAAAACAAATAAAATAAAAATATAATGTATTTATTGTTAATTTAAATGCTTCTTAGTTTGATCAAACTTAGGAATATATTAGGAACATGTAGCTATTATCAAATTATCGAGGCAGTGTTTTATTTTTTGAAAATTATTTTCCTAGTAGTGTTATAAAATAGTTATACAATATAGTTTTTAATAAATTTATTTGCATTTGAGTAAAGATACAAGATAAACTTACTTCTAAATTTCATTACGTTTCTTAATTTATTATGCAAAAAATTTTTATGAATTATACTGTAGAAACTCTACTCCAACAACCCACTGGATCACAACCTTGAACAACACTAAAATTAATTCATATAAATTTGGATTACAGTATAAAGAAAAATGTATACTCTCATTTTACTAAAATTTTTGTTTACAAACTTTGAGTGCAACGAGGAAATGTTCAGTTTTATAATAACGTAATAGTTTGGTATTTTAACAAAAACTTTTAAAAATAGAAATAAAACTTTATTTACTATTTTTTGACAGTTAATAGAATGATAAAATCTTTCAATTATAATCAGTATTTTTTCTTCTGCATAATTTTGGGGTACAAAATAAAACTCGAGCAATGCAAGATGGATTCCCATTTTCCCAATCCAAAATAAAATATCTTACCTACGTTTTTTAGTTTAACGTTATATTTTTTATAGTTAGTGTATTATTTAAATTCAATCTAATGTGTACAAATGTAATTATTATTGTAACCAATTTATATTTTGTTTGCTCAATACATCTCGGAAATCTAAGCGTTTTCAATATCGTTATTATGTCTTAAACGTACGAGTAATAGTTTGTATGCTTTAATTATATTATGTTTTATGTATTTTGATATTATTTATAATGTATATTTCAATAACTCGTAAATATATATACTACCTATTCAGTTTGTTTAAAAATATAGTATCCCTTAAAGTGATTAATATAATTTATACCTTAAGTATATTATATACATTTTGTTTTTTTTTTCGTGGCTTCACGAAGTTTTTGTATTTTAGTATATTATAATTATAATTATTTTAATATTGTATCTAACTCATTAATGAAATAGATAAAGTATGAATATAAAAACGCAATGTTATTTTTTAATTTTAATATATTTTATTAAGTTTACTTAGTTTTAATGGAAAAGTATAAAAATTATAGTTTTTAACTTATATATTATATATATATATATATAAATACCTTTTATGAAAATTAAAAACTCTTAAAACTTTTACTGTTTAAATTTAATAACTACAACATAATTAAACAGTTTAAGTTAACATATGATTTTTATAATTTTAATAAAATATTTTCTAAATCATTATAAATCAATTTTTACAAATGTATCAAATGTAATATACTTTATTTCTTTTATACCGTTCTGTAATAATTTACTATTGCACTTAGTTTTTAATAAATTAATTGTCTATTAATGTATATTCATAATAATTATAATAATTATTTTTCCAAGATATTATGATTAATCAGTATTTACTTCAAATACTTTTATGAAGATACTTGTGGTTGTATAATTAATCTTTAATTTTGTTCTAAAAAGTTATTTCTATTAATACTTCACTGGACTTATTTTTATAGGTATGGTAAATGTATGGCTAATTTCATAGAATTTATCATTTGTCATCTTTTAATCATAACCACTCTATTTATGATTATAGCCACAGTAGAAATAGAATTATTAAGCCCCTACATACAATATGATCTGGTCGGGCGTCATATCAGGTCATATGTAGACGTGTCATCTGACTATGATACTGTCGAGTCTTGTCAGGTGGGCCGTTTCATCCGACCGTACGACCGCCCGACCAAATTATATAGTGTGTAATAGTGTCTGGCCGATTTTGTTTATCAGTCGGCTTTTGGACGTTATTTATTGTAATTTGTCTTTGTGGTTATAAACTGTGGTTAAACGAAAGCGAATCTTCATGCTGTCACAGAATACTACTGCACTAATGGAATGGTTAAATGAATTACCAAATCTTGCAGAGGTCGTATCGTCTGTACACAACACCTGATTTGGTCAGGCCATCTATTGGACAGATCAGATCATATTGTATGTAGGGGACTTCAAAGATAACATTTTGTGTTTAGTATTTTCTAAATCATGTTATCAATAAAAATTAACTATTTTAAAATTTTTCATTAGTGAGTATATGGCAGTTAATAGTTTTGGAAGACATCTATTCTAGACAAGTATTAATTTTATCAATGTAGTTGGTGTACTTATATATTTACTAGTTTCTTATTTATAATATAGAGCAAAAAAGAGAATGATTATATATTCTATACTCAATTCATTATAACAGCTAAAGCGTATGGATATAAATATAAGTATGACCCACTAAGTACTCTACTAATTGTGAAACAAATTTCTAATACAAGTACATTGTAATTTTGTATTACGGATTGTTCATCTATATTCAATAAATAATTATACTGATTAATTATAAAACTAATAAAATATTAAGATAATTATTTTTTAGTTAATAAATCTATAAAATTAAGTATTGTACAATGAATGTACTAAGAGTTTTTTTTGTAGTTCCTGATGATCCCGTGAATTAGAAATTCATAAGTTAAGTGATCAGTAGTAATAATAATATTCTAAGGCTTAATTAGCCTTCAACGACTAATTATAAAAGAAAGCATATACATAGTTTATTTGTTTTGACTGCAGGAGTTTTACCTTTATTGAAGATAATTGACACACACACACACACACACACACACACATTGACTCAATATTATGATAATGCAATTACATGTATCTAAATGGATTTTTTTTCTAAACATCTTTTGTTTTAAAAATAATAACTCTAATTATTCATATAACCGTCTAATGTTTTGTAACTTCTGTTTCATTTTAAATTACTAAGTGTTACACAATATTAAGGTAGTTCTTCAACGTAATACAAAACGAGTCACTAAAAAGAAGTATTTGGTCAAATGGTATTTAAAAATTAAAATTAAAAAATTATATCAGTCATTGTACATGCATTTTGTTATATAGTCAGTATAGCCTACTAAAAAGTTAAATTTTATAAATCCAATCTTTACCTACAAATTAGTTTTTTTTATATTGGAAGAATATCATATAACATTATTTCCTCAAACTCATATTTATAGAACATCATCATTCTTTGATAAATATGGGTAAATCACAAAATTTTAATAAAATTCTAAATAAACATAATTTTGAATCATAAGTAATTTTACAAATGTAAATTCTAGAACAATTTATAAAATAATTAATCCAACACAAGAAATTATAGATCTCTATAATATTTATTGGTAACACTTTTCTAATTATATCTTAAATTATTCATTATATACAGAATTATTATAACTATAGAAATGTGAAGTTATTAAAATATTTACAAAAATATTAATTTTTCATGTGAACTTTATCTTTTGTTTAATATAAAATTACTTTAAAATATGCATAAAATATTTTATAAAATATTAACGAAGTAAGAAAATATGCACATAAAATGTAATTAAGATCAATAAACCCGAAAAATGTAAGATAAGTAAATTTTACAATGTGGATCATTGAAAAAAAAAAAATGACGTATATTTATCTATAAATGTGAACTTATAGCTACACTAAACCTGACAACAAAAAATATAATATTCAATTTATCTATTTCCTAATAAATAAGTTTGTAGAAATGTTAATTCTTTACAGTTTATACAATAATTATAGTTTTTTAACTTTTCTACAAGTATTCTTTTAAAGTAAATTTTGTTGAATTCATAGTGATATGAAAAAAATATTTTTAGGAATACCTATGGACATTTATTAGTTTCTATTTTCATAAAATTAATAGAAAAATGTATCATTAATTAAATATATTAAAAATTATTCAAAAGTTCATAGCCAAATAATATCGAATTATATAGTCCTGGTTTAAACATATTTACATTATTTTTAAATAGCTAGTATTAAACTAAAAATTATATAAAATTATTTACTATAAAACTTCAAATTAGATAATTTTATTTATGATTGAACAGAACATAAGTTGTAACTCATAACCGTATCATTATTTATCAATTATATATGGTTAATATTTATATATATTTGTTTAAAGATCCACTATGTCAATAAAACATTTTTAAAATCATAAATTTTATTAAATTATTTTATGGATAGTAATATTTCCTTTATTGGAACCATCCATGTCCCATTAGTATAGTGTGATGATGTTTTGAGCTCATCTATTTTATTGGTTGCAAAAATCGAATTACAATTATTTAATTTATATGTATCCATTTACGTAATAAAAGAGTATGATTTATGATTTACTAGGAAAAAAAAATCGTGTGATACTATTTTTGTGATGACCATTGAAGGAATGTAGTTTATCATACAAGGATACAAGTAAAGCTCCTTTTAGTCCTATCCTATTCTGGAGCGACAAGACAACAACTATCTCCTTAAACTATTGGTATTAAAAATAATTATTGTGACGAGATTGTTCTACCTTTTGTCATAAATTTTACTATATGAACCCGGAACCTTGGACCGTTCGTTTTATATTCGCAGTATCCGTATGGAACTATAACCTTTCATGTAGCATATTACGACTGAACGGTATTTGAAATGTATCACCTCAAGCCGTATTGTAGAAAACACTTATATTTTCTTCATAGTAAAATATTTGGCGATATCGTTTATTTTATAATTTTTTTTTTTTTGTATTACGATCTCATTTCAATATCTCCTATCGCCTATGATGTTAAAAAATGTTTTTAGTTATTAAACATTAAGCAATAAAAGCACTAATACTTTTTACTAGCAATTATTCATTATTGTAATTTCAAGTATAACGTTTATATCATTGGTGAATCACATTAGAGCTTATTACAATGCTATGACATACACTTACCATACTAATGTACTTATTAAATTTGATACATTTTGTAAATCAATTTTTATTTTTTACTACATTAGGTAATAACTATGTAATAAACTTACCAGCTATACCTTGTAGTTGATTGAGCTCCATTTCGAATTTGTTGTCATATACATTCAAGTACAGAGAAAAATATGTCACTACAGTCTAGAAGAGGAGTTACTATTGTGAGACCACCTAGTATATAAACTTTGCATTTTACTTGATTTCTTACACATAGTATTCAATACATTATGTAATTATGATGTATTAGAATATGAAAGTCGAGATATATGATTAATTAAAAATTAAATATAATTATAATACTAAGTATGAAATACGATACGGATTAAACCTACATTTTGGATTTCAATAAACAAAAATATTTATTATTTTTAATAAAAAAAACAATACTTTCCGTATAAATCGCGTGTACGAAATACGACTATAGATATTTTTTAACTGATGGCGTAACAACGAATATTTAAAAACATCTGCGCATATTATACAAGAAATTAAAATGTATGCAACCGATCCTGCAATTAATATAAAGCTATGCGTATAATTATTATATAGTCCATGTATAATAATTAATGTATTATTCAACATACAAGTAATTAATTCGATCAAAAATCTAGTAGTTTTCCCTCCAAAATATAATATTTCAAAGAACGCGCCCACGGCATTCCAACAGTTTTATAGTACACACCATCAGGTTGTGATCCGCGTTATTGAATATTATATACTCTAGTGAGAATAAAAACATGTCTAATTAATTTATGAACAATATAATGCTATAATGCTTCGTTTTGCCGTGGATTGGATACGGTAAGTTAATAAGGTACATAATGCTACATGTGCTTGAATGTACAGTACCTCGTCTGCAAATTATATGTGTGTATATATATATATATATATATATATATATATATATAAATAATAACAATTACATGCGGTTTCTTAGATAACAGCATATTATTAAAATTAACGCTATAGGTAATAAATGACTGTTGGTTCGGCCTGACCACGAATTGCGACACGTATGTAATGAGGTTTACACTTTTACACATGGCCGTTGACAAGCACCAGTACAATAACAAAATATAGGAATAAGTACACACATTCGATTAAGGTCGTCAAATTTCTTCTGTTTTTTTTTTTTTTTTTGCTTTCTTTCGTCGCATTTCCTCCCAAAATCGGTAATATCATGCCCGACAATTAAAACCTAACGATAATGTATATACACCATTTATTATTACTTTTATTATTATTATTATTATTATTATTATTATTATATATATATATATATTATAATATTGTATTATCTGATTGTGGTACGTATCGATGCGCTTATGCATACGCATCTAGGAGGTATACGTGCGTCGTCTACACGTGTAATATATTACGACGACGGTGGCGGCGGCGACGTTCGGGTCGCGGGGCGGTAGTTTTACTTTCACTAGACGCGACCGCCGGGAAGGGTCGCACGCGGGTAGAGGGGGATCAGCCGAAGGGAAGAGGAAACGATCGCACGTCACCTGGTGCGCACCACGTCGTCGTCGTCGTCGATACCCGTTCAAACGTCGGCGTGCGTCCACTGAAAAACGGTCGCACACGGTCACCGTGATTGTTGAGATTCAGCGAAACTCGTGCGCTGCACTCGTCGTCGATTTCCTTTTTAGTTTTTTGATTTTTATCTCTCGTGCGCCGCGATCCTGAAGAACCGTTCGTGAGGGAAAAAAAACCTTATAATAATAATAATAATAACTGTAGAACAAAAACCGTGCCAAAAGCCACTTGCAAACCTAGAGGAAGATTTTTAAAGTGAATTATTTTTTTCTCGTCACATTGTTATACTCACCAGATACGTCACAAATCGCGCTCATACACATCACAGAGTGGTCACCGTCGCGCCACAGGACGTCCGCAACAGGTAAAACACACCGTCACGTTATAATACATGATAATTAAAATACACGTGTGTACATCTCAATTCAGCTCAAATAGCTGACGCACTGCATGTCCTAGCCGTATAAATATTATTATATCACGTGCACGATACAGTAAACTCTTGTTATGCCGAACTCGACGGGAACGGAAAGAGTTTGGAGATATCGTCAAAATGATTCGAAATAGAGAGTTTAAACATTAAATGAACGTTGTTGAATGTAAAACATAGGATTTGGACTGGATTCGAAAAATTGACGTTCGGGTACAACAACCTACTCTAATATGATTTTACACAATAATACTATACGCCAGGGACGCCCACAGAAATGTAGCTCAGGGGGGCAAAAAAATTGTAAGTACTTAAATACTTATAGGAAGATTTACTGCTACATATTTCATCTACTCATATTTTGTATTACTATCATTAATAATTTTTTAAAAATCAAAACTCATTTAAGTTTATATAAAATTACATTATTAGTTATTAGTTTTAATATTTATAAGAAAAAATATAATAAAGTTTAAACAAAAAACAACTTTATTTGATTGAATTCGCATCATATTTTATTATTTTATTCAAAAAGTAATGACAATCTCCTTTTGTTTGAAGCAAATAAATTAATTGAATCATCATTTGTTGATTAAAAAAAATGTTAGATACTTGTTAGATACAAGGATTGTCGAATAGTCACTGAATACCCAAGATCAGTTTTATGTAAAATAACTTCCAATTTTGTAAGGGACGCGAAAATTTCAGGGGGGGGGGGCAATGGCTCCCACTGGCCCCCCCATCCGGGCGTCCCTGCTATACGTGTTTATAGACAAATTGAAGTAGACCAACGTATACATATTAGAGAATAGAATTTACCTATAATATATATAAATTAATTTGACGAGCACGTCCTCCGTACTTGATGTGCGTTTCAATCATTGGATTACGTTTCAAATTTTCCACAAACGCAATGATTCACCCCGCACGTATGCACTATGATGATTCGGCTCAGTTTTTTGTAGTTGTCGTACATTTTAGGGCTTGTAGATCGATTAAGCCTATGTGTATGTGTGTATGTGTGTGTATGTGGCGTATTTCAAGTATATTTACCTAAATTACGTTTATATATATATATATATATATAATGTCATAAATATTAGGTACAGGACGATTCGGCATTGTGGTACAGGATAACCGTTTTGAGAATATAGGTACGTACTACCTATAATATAAAACAATATAATACTACCTTCCGGTCGTAGTGTTTAACTGGGTGAGTTTGTAATGTAACGATAGGAGGATAGGACGTATTAAAATGTGAGAACGAAAGTGGAATATTAATGACCGCAACCGGTTTTATACAAGCGCGCACACACATTCATACATACGTGTTCATGCAATATCGGCAAGATTTCGAGAAACGTAGGTTTTAACGTCGTATTTGTAGTAATGAAAACCGCACTTCCGGTCAGTATCACTGGTTTTTTCATCTCGACATGACGTTTTCGATAAGTTGTCTTTCTCAAACGTGTTAGTTGAAGTTGCATAATCGTATTTTGGCATTAGACACATTGTTTGTGTAACAACGAATCATCATATCACAAACCCAAAAAATGACATTTTCGTACATTACATATTGTTTGATTCGGTAAAATAAAAAATATTATTACATATTACATAGTTCACTTTCGATAGCCGATCGGTTATCATCATTGTTTACAAATATCGTAATGAGATGGTTACAAGTACATCGTGAAGTAATCATTGAGTTATGTCGTCTCATTTCGCATACTCGAACGCTACAGTAAAAACCAAGTTGTACAAGGCTTTCACCAATAATAATCGGGTTATCGTTAAATATTTAACATTCGTACGTAACACTAATCGTGCTATTATTGTCACGTACGCCAATCGACTTTAATGATGCCATCGTGCCGACAATATTTGAACTTGTAATCCTGAAGATTTATAAGTAAATACAGTATAAATAAATATTAGTCATTAGTTATTACCATTGTATCCGAAAAATGTTTAAAAAAGTCGTTAAAAAGATTTTTAGGATCATACTGATTGACGTTTTTTTAACTGTTTTACTTTTGAGTGTAGTTATTAAAACTGAAGTAATACGTAATTGAGTATAATGATTCTAACTTATTTCATTTTATAAAAAATAAAAACCATTGGGCACCTAAAATTATAATCTATCGTAATTACTAAACTAAATGAGTGAGAATTATGTCATATATGTTTTTAGGTAATTTAAAAGTGTTATGTATGATTTATGCTTTAGGGAAATGAGAGAGTGGCCTTGGCCTTACTCTTAGAGAGGGGACATTTATGTCATGGAATGACACCATTTTTTCCAAGTATATTGCAAAATAATGTAAAAATAGTCATGTACGCATGTGGTTAATTATATATATATATTTTTTTCTTTTATTATTTTAATTATAAGAAAATATTGAGGAAAAAAATATAAAAAACAGTTACTTTATCTGAGCCAAGAGTTTAATTAGTTTTTTGTGTAATTTTGTAAGATTCAAAAAATAAAAAATATTAAATAATTTTACGTATTTTATCTATAATGAAAGATTAAATAAATTTGAATGACAATCAGAAAATAATTTATTGTAATTACTCAGTTGAGTTTTAACCATTTGTTTATTTTTTTATTCGTTTTTGCTATAACTTAGAAATATTTTCAATTCTGACGTATATATCGAAAATATAATTGAAATGAAATAACTATCAGAGAATAAAAAAAATATATAAAAATGTTTGTGCGTATAAATAAGAAATAATTGCTAAATAATTAAATTAAATCATATTTTTCTTTTATGTTTATATTTAATATAGTTATTATACAGTATGTCTAGAAAGTTCGGACACCTCATATTTGTAACATGAAGATCAAATATACTTTTATTAAATTCTAACAAATGACAACGTTGAATTGTTAATAAAATAAAATACATTTTTAAAGTTATCATGATGCTTGATCTTCTCGTCTCTCTGAGCTCAAGAGGATTTTGAAAATAGTTATGCTTCACGCGTATTATGTAAACGATAAATTATCCTCCTAATAATTAAAGCTAGATAAAGCTGTTACTCGTGCGTGTATAGCTTGCGTAATTAATAATATAATATCTTATTAGCATCGAGTTCATTTTCTACATTCACAATGAAAGATGATAACCCAAATCGTAGTATTATCAAAGATCAACATTTTCATCAACTAAGAAAAACTATATCATGTTTTAACAGTTTATACAGGTTAATTCATACGTAAAAAATGAAAAAATAAATATCCACAGCGTCAAAATAAAAGTATTTTGAGTTTAAAAACCAAATTATAATAGTTCAAAACTGTTTTTACAAGCAAAAATGTAGTAATGTCGACATTGCTTCATTCTGATTAAATACATGCAACATTAAATTTATTTAATATAGAATGATAATATGATATATGATAATGATTTGTTTTAATATGGAATGTGGTCCCATATCAATGATACGAGTAATATTGTGCTTGGGTTTGAACATGGCAACAGCACGTTTTGATTTGATACAAAAAAAAGGCAGTAATCTGTTTAAATTTAATAATGAATCTTAAATCTGTTTTTTTTTCGTAGAAATAATTGATTAAACGATTTTCATTCTGAATTTGATTTCCCCATCATATTTTTTTCCATTAGAATTTTCTTGGTTTACAGATTTGGGACTTATATATCGGATTTTAAATTATCAATTTTTAAATAAAATGTTTCTACTTTTTTTTTTTTTTAACAGATAATTCTCGAGTTTGACTGTACCCTCGTACGTGTATTTCGTCGCGTCTCACTATAATTGTCGTTAAGTTTTAGTTATTCTCGTACACCATTAGATAATATCAGTTCAAGTTCAATAATGTATGCATAATAATTTATGATATATCTAATGTGTACATAGTTAATACGAGAAAGAAAAAAAAACTGAAAGTACCGACCGTGAACTCAAAAACTATCTACAGTCTACCACTTTAAATCACCTCTAGCCGGTGTACCATTGTTTAACGAATCTATTTACGTTTGTCGTCCGACCAGCCTCTCTTCCATTAACGAGCACTCTATATAACATTATATAATTATTAATTTGTCGAAGAAACATCTAATCGCACAAAACTCTTCGACAACCGAGATTTCCGCGGGCGTATTCCAATCGCTCGATATCACAACGATTCATACGTCGCCACGACGTCCTCTCGGATACAGTCGACATCAATAAATCATTTGAACCACATTTGCCGATAGTGCATACAATATATTTATTTATACGTTATGTGTCTCTAATAATAAATATCGAAGGACCAGACTATGGTCAAACAGTTGTTTTTTTCCAACCAATCTAAATCGTACACCAAACCCGATTCGACTTCGAATCATTATCCGATCTCATCACGGCATCACGCGCGCACTGGGTCCACATTATAATGTGTTACAAGATTTTTTTTTTTCTTGTCAGATTCCTGCATTCCAACGCTTTTATTTACGGTCAAAACCATAGGTTATGGGGTCAGTGATGTAGAAATATTTTTAAGAAAAAATATTTAATAATCATAATAATTATATTATAAATCGTAAATCATTTTCATCCTACGGACATTATTGAGTTGACGAGTGTGTGTTTTCAATCCTTGTTATCCGTTGTCGACGGTTGCTTAGTCAACGAAGTACGTACAAAATGGGCTGGACAAGATTTAAAGCGCATTCTTGAAAAAAAATATAAAGTCGTGTATTATTTCACACTTTTTTTTTAAATTTATAATACAAATTTGACAATAATCAGTAATGATATAATACATACGTAATAAAAGAGTAAGGTATCAATTTTTAAAAACAAATGTTCGTTGTTCCATAGAAGTGAAATTATATACTCGACAGTTATGATAATACATACAGTTTTTTTTCGTTGTGAAATAATTACTATAGATAAGAAAACAAATTTAACGCCCGTATATTTAGTTTTTATTTCAATTTAGCGCCCCAGTGAGAGTTTTTACAGAGCTCGGAGTAGATTTTTTCATGTGACTCTAAAATTTTTTTTTTAGGACGGCTTAATTCTTATATAACATATTTTTCTATTTTATCGAAATTATCAGAACTCATGGAGGACCGCAGTACACATCTAAAGAATTTAAGAGTGAGGCATTAAACACATAAAAAAAAAAACAATAAAATAAAATATAAACACATAAAACCTATGCTAATTCAAATAGTATGGTTAAAAGGCACATACCAATATCAAAAAATGTATTAAAAAAAAAAACTGAGAAAGATAAGAAAAATATGTATTTAGCGATGCTTGAATTGAAAAATAAACCTATACACAAAGATATTCATTCCCCAGCAGAAATATCAACAGGACAAATAGTAAATAGTTTACTTCCAATAAAATAGAGTAAAGATAAGTTTAGTGACATTAGAAATAAATTAGTGGAGAGACAAAAAATTAATTATGATTAAGGTATAAAATTTCTAAAATAATTAAAACTAAGTGACAAAGTTTATTTACAAAAGGAAAAAACTGAAAACCTGAAATAATAAAGATAAATTGGAGAATAGAAGGTCATTTGTAATAAAATTAGACAAAGGAAGGGATATTAGAGAAATATAAATATGTAAAAAGAGAGAAAAAAATATGGAAAACGAAGTAAAGGGTATATATATATACTATATAATAAGTGATGTAGTTAATAAAACTAAAAGAAAAAAAATACTTGAGAAATTTAAAGATTTTTTAATGTTTGATAATAATTATTATTTATAAGTTATTACTGAGTACATTTTTGTTAATGTTAATGTAATTATTATAATAATTTTTATTATATTAATTATATTTTTATTTTAAAAGAAGAAGGTGTAATAGTTAAGTGGATATCATAATAAGATGACTAACATCATTAGGTTAAAGATTTTAATTAATTGTTGTTATATTACGTTATGTGAAATATATAAAATATTGCAACAAGTAGCTTATAATTGCGTAAAAGTGAAAATATTGTTTGTAAATAATAGTATTTGATAATGTACATTTTTGCTAAATATTTTTTCCTTTTTTTTCCTCAGGTTTACTTATCACATCGAGTACAAAATAATGTGCTATATCATCTAGAAAAATGGTGCACGCAGGCACGGTGTTAATTAGTTCCATAAAGTTGGCGACTAAGTTAGTCGGTGGCGGAAAGTTACTTTTTTTGCCAACGTTTTTAGCCGCTTTAGCCTATTACAACTACGATCTGTATGACCCGGAGAGCCGGTTAGTAAACGAGAGAAACCTTAGATCTGAGTATGACTTTATAGTGGTGGGAGGTGGTTCAGCGGGTGCGATAGTCGCCAACCGTTTGTCCGCGAATCCAGAATGGAACGTATTATTATTGGAAGCGGGCGGTCATGAGTCGGAAATTACGGACGTGCCGGTCATATCACTATATTTACACGGCAGCAAGTACGACTGGAAATACAAAACGCAACCGGACCCTTCAGCGTGCAAAGCAATGAAGGGTAATCGGTGTTGTTGGACTCGGGGTAAAGTGATCGGTGGCTCCAGCGTTCTGAATACTATGCTGTACGTGAGAGGCAACAAACGGGATTACGATAATTGGGAGAAACTCGGGAATCCTGGCTGGGGATTCGAAGATGTACTACCTTATTTCAAAAAATCTCAAGACCAACGAAACCCGTACCTGGCCAAAAACACTAGATACCACGCTACAGGGGGATATCTCACGGTACAGGACTCACCATGGAACACGCCCTTGGGTAAGTCCATACACCATGGTTATTAAACCATAAGTGTTATTACACGTTCTACAAAATAAGAGTCTGATATTTCATTCGTCCTACGGTTAAAAAGAGTGGGTAATTGATCTTTGTTATGTGAAAGGTTCAATAACGTTGCAGTAGATGAGTATTTTTTTATTTTCAATAATAGCATACCACGTATTATCTTCGCTTCGGGTGCATCGCCTTGTGAAAATCACTTTTTTTATGACTGAAAATTCTATACATATATAAAAGTTGTTTTATTGATAATATATTACACAACAATAAATTAAATCAATAGCCATAAAAAGTAAATATCACATTCAAGACATTTAAGATTTTTTTATTAAAATAGTTGTTTATTTTTAATACAAAATATTTTATTGAATTACAAAGTAATTTTTTAAACACGCCCATACTACATTTAAGATTAACAATACATTTATTTAATTTCTTATGTTGTAATCGTACTCATCCTAATAACTCAGATTATTTGAATTGTGGAACATAAATTATTTACATCTTTTTAAAGTTCATCAAATTACGGAATACACAAAGTGTCATAAAATACCGTTTTGTAATCATAACGATCATTAAAAATGAGTAATTATTGAAAAATTGGCAGGCGTTGCTTTTTTGCAAGCTGGCGAAGAAATGGGTTATGAGATAAGAGACATCAACGCTGAGACGCAGACTGGATACGGGCTGTATCAATTCACTATGCGTCGTGGTTATCGGTGCAGTTCTTCGAAAGCTTTTCTACAACCGATCAGGCTTAGAAGAAATTTGCACGTAGCCCTTTGGTCACACGTAACTAAAGTGCTCATCGACCCGGAGAGCAAACGAGCTTATGGCGTGGAATTCGAACGGGATGGACTAAAGAAGACCGCGTTAGCTAAAAGAGAAGTCGTGCTGTCCGCGGGCGCCATCAACAGTCCTCAATTGCTGATGCTCTCCGGTGTTGGACCGGAAGAGCACTTGAAGAATGTTAACATACCATTAATCCATCATTCACCTGGCGTCGGTGAAAATCTTATGGACCACGTTGCTGTCGGCGGTCTGTTATTCCTCATTGACTTTCCAGTCAGTTTGGTCATGAATCGAGTAGTCAACATACCAGCAGCTTTAAGGTACGCCGTGCTGGGCGAAGGCCCGTTGACGTCGTCCATAGGACTGGAAACGGTCGCGTTTATCACGACCAAGTACGGTAACCAGTCGGACGACTGGCCG